TTAGTGCATCATCAGTCATCTTAAAATTGTGCATAGCATGTCATGTATAGAATTGTGCACCAGGCATTATAGAATGAAAAGTAATTGACCTAAACTATGATTTATTTCTCCAAAAGATAGGTTGGTTGTCACTAAAACATTCCTTTCAGGAAGTCAATGATCAGGCGAAGTCAATGATCAGGTGAAGTTAATGATCACGTGAAGTTAAATACCATGTGAAGTTAATGATCATGTGAAGTTAATGACCATGTGAAGTTAATGATCACGTGAAGTTAATGATCACGTGAAGTTAATGATCACGTGAAGTTAATGATCATGTGAAGTTAATGATCAAGCTAAGTTAATGATCACGTGAAGTTAATGACCACAGGAAGTTAATGATCACGTGAAGTTAATGATCACAGGAAGTTAATGATCAGGTGAAGTTAATGATCAAGCTAAGTTAATGATCACCTGAAGTTAATGACCACAGGAAGTTAATGATCATGTGAAGTTAATGATCACGCGAAGTTAATGATCAGGCGAAGTTAATGATCAAGCTAAGTTAATGATCAAGTGAAGTTAATGACCACATTAAAAATCAAAGGAAATGTCATTTATTCTACCTCTACATCATCTACAATGAAAGAGGAGGACTTCAGAGTACTGTTAGTAATGGATGAGTACGCTCTGCATGCTTCAAATGTTTTGAAATTAAGTTTTATTCCTGTTGTCCCGAGTAGCCCAAACCGACGGGGCTACTCGGGACATTCTCTATTTTGCGTCTGGCACCTTACGAATAGCATATGGAATTTTTTTGACAAGGCCATTCAATAGCCCTGCCAATCAGCTATAAAATGAGACTAAACTTGTTTATGAAATGTTTCATCGTAAGAAGTTATTAACTGTTATTTAAAACTAATCGTTCAAATCTGTCCCGAGTAGCCCCGGTTGACGGTAATTAAATGCATACTGAGTATTATGAGTTTTCTGTCTCTTGTCCCTTGACAAAATGTATCTGCGTGTCTCACGGACTCTTGCGCGCGCGAGTGGGGATGGCCAGGAGTTGCACCAACTGTGCGCAGCAATGGCATAAAAAAAGTCATAATGCATGGGAAAATTCCCTGAAAACATACCATAAAATGAGTTAACTTAGACTCCTGGGTAACTTAGACCACTTTCAGTTTTTTAACAAAACCCCCAAAACACAAACTATTTGACATAGTTGCAAATGGGGGGCGCTGCCCCTGAATAGGGGAACTTAGACTACCTAATGTCAGCCCTGACTGGGTAACAAAGCAAATGACAAATTTGAGGAAAGTATCATACCTAGTTTGCAAATGGGGGGTGCCGTCCCACAATGGGGGAACTTAGACCACCTAATGTCAGCCGTGAAGGGGTAATATTGACTGGCTTGGAAATTAAGTTAAAATTACCATATATAAGACTGTAGAGTCTGAAACATAAAGAAGAAACATTCTTCTTCTGAAACATAAAGAAGAAACAAACAACAAGAGAGTGCGCATCCGCTGTTGGTCATTGGGCATCGGCTAAATCGATCGCAAAGGTGTGTGATTGTGTCAATAATCTGGCATCGGTCACATCGATCGTAAAGCAAGTGTGTCTCTGTTGATTGCCAGGCATCAGCCACATCGATCGCAGAGAGCGTGCATACGCTGTTGGTCATTAGGCATTGGCTAAATCGATCGCAAAGGCGTGCATTTGTGTCAATAATCTGGCATCGACCACATCGATCGTAAAGTGTGCGCATCAGTGTTGATCATTGGGCATCGGCTAAATCGATCGTAAAGCGTGTGTTTCTGACAATTGTCAGGCATCAGTCACATCAATCGTAAAGTGCGTCTGCCCATGTCGATCATGCAGCATTGGTGAGGGTTACACTTACATTTTTAGCAAGCATATTGGCAACTTTCTTACCTGGCGTACGTACAATGGCTTTCCACGGCTTTGGAAATAGGCTCACGGTTTGAAAATTCCTTAATTCACAGCTAGAAAATTCCAGTCATGGCTCAGAGAGTAGATGTTCTCCTCACTAGTTGCCATAAAGACCTCTCATCCCAGGCTGTAGAGTAGGGCCTTTCAGCTCGAGATATCGGCGTCTTTTCAAGCTCTCCATCAGCCACATTGACCTTAAATTGGCGTCCATGGCCGATCATAAACTATGGCTCAGGCAGCCATGACTGATCATAAACTAAAGATTGCTTGATCAGGATTGCTCTTATCTGTCACCCGATCACAATGTGCATACATCTGGCAAGCCCAATGCTTCTGCTGAAAAAAACTTGTCAATCTATTGTGTTCTAACGCGATCTATCGTGTTCTAATGCGATCTATTGTGTTCTAATGTGATCTATTGTGTTCTAACGTGATCTATTGTGTTCTAACCTGATCTATTGCGTTCTAACGTGATCTATTGCGTTCTACCTTGATCTATTGCGTTCAAACGTGATCTATTGTGTTCTAACGCNAGCGTACACACCGCACCTTCCTGACCATGGCCTGGGCCCTGGAGCAGGGCTGGAAAAGTCCTATTTTTTCTGAAATATTGCAGCTCTAATATCATATAATTTCAGTGGGTATGAAATCTTGTGGCTGAGGCTCTTATGTCATAAATTTTTGGTTGCTTGAAAAAGTTGCAGTTTGCACTTTGCGGTTTGCACAATAACAAGTTTGCACAATAACCGCAACAATAGTTGCGGACTTGCGGTTTGCACAATAACATGCAGAACATAATAACAAGTCAACTCAAAATGCTTCCTCTATGAAGATGGCATAGTTGCAGTCACATCATGACATCAGAATGGTCTTCCTTCATTATCACTTGTTCAGTTGCCGGCTGCTGCTAAAGTGAAGACAAATGCTAGTGACTTTTTTGTATGGGACTTTGTAAATATCCAGATACTTTGTAAATAACAAAATCGCGGGACGCGGCCACGCGGGACGCGGCCACGCGGGTCATAAATGGTTTTCCACGGCTGAGATATGGAATTGAAGGCTTGAAGAAATGGAAACACGACTGGCAAACTCATGAAGCCACAGCTCAAAAAATTCAGTTGCGGCTTGCCAAGTAAAGTCATATATTCCGTGCCTGGCCTGGAGGCCAGATTGGAATTTTCCAACTTGTTTCTGAACATAGTGGCAAACCAGTGATCTCTTAGAATCTGTACATTTTTAATATCCTCATTTACTCAAGATTTTAACCAATTTCTTATGTATGATTATTCTGGTATCCAAGATACTTCACTGGTCTCCCTATAGGACTCGAAAATGAACTTGACGAAGAGTCTAAAAAAACTCTGCTTTGCCACTATGTTTCTGAAATCTCGCGACTCCAATATGACAAATTTTAAATACATTTGGAATCTCGTAACTTGCGGCCCAATCGTGCACTTTTGTTAACAATTAGATAGAAGGTAATTCACCTGAAAGAAATCTCACGACTCACGGTTCCGGAAATGGCAGGGAAAGCTCCTGTTGTGGTCTTAATGGTAGGATTTTTCCATACTTGCCTGGAGATTTTTGCTTTTGTCACTTCTCACATACTTGCCACTGCCAGGTTTTTTATAAATAAATTTCAGAAATGTAGTATGGACAGATGGGATAAAATGTAGCATTTGCATTTGGAAGGTAGCAGGATTGCTAAAAGGTAGAGACAAAGTGAAGGAAAATCACATTTTTAGTGCTTATTAATGAAAAAGTTTACGAAATTATGATCAATGCTTCAAATTCCAAAAGTGAATACTAACAACGACAATACTTCATTAGAAATGCATTATTATATTTAAACTCAATATTTATACATGCAGCAAATGATTTTCTTACATTGATTGCACATAAAAGAGCTAGTTTTATTTTCGTTACTTACCAAAGATTTCTTTATTTTTAATCGGGTCAGACTATCAGAGGAGGGCAATCTGTCTCTTCTTTATTCGCCAGCTGTTTGTTGTCAACTTACACTAAACTGCGGAAAATTATTTAGAATGAAGTGCTCATATGTTTTGAGCAGGCTATTATGCACAAGAAAGGATTCAAATTGCTTGGTTTTATTGAGCTTTTATTAAGTGAAAATTGAATACACTGCTGTGGCATACAGGTAGAATTGTTATCGAAAAAAAGATTTAAATAGAATTTCAATATTACTGCGCTCGGAGGAGAATAGTATAGTTTCACCGCAATACGATGAAAATTATGAAGAGCGTCTGAAAAAGCATTGTCATTATTTTATACGAAAATATATCGGCCGTAAATATGTCCGAAACGTGAATTCGCGGACTTTACATTGTAAATCAAATCCTGGTTGAATCACGTCTGCGACAAATTTACGGCCCGATTGAATCAAACCATCTTTGAATTCACGGTCGTTGTCTGAGACAAATTTGCGCTGTATTCGATTTTATTCTGATTGCAATAATTTTTCACTGATGGCCTTAACCTAGTAGCGCAAAGTTTTGAACCTAATCTTATATTGAATCAACATTAAACAGTGAAATTTTCCTTATCAATCTAATGCAGGCAATAGAATGATTTTTTATGTGTATTGTATTTTGGTTATGTGATGTTCTACTTCTAGGCCTCTCACTCTCAGACTGGGGTCGCACACTCGCACTGCCTTTCTATCACAGAAAGATGATAATGATTTAGTATCTAATATATCTATAGATATCATATATACATTATATAGACTAATAGACATAGTGTCTATGCCTACTGCCTAGCCTATAGTGGCACCATAGTGGCAAACCATAGCTTTTTTAGAATCAGTTCATTTATAATTTTCTCATTTACACAAGATTTAAATCAATTTCTTATGTATGATACTGATACTGCTGGTATCCACGATACTTTACTCTTACTGGTCTACTTCTAGGACTCACAAATGAACTTGAGATTGGGTCTAAAAAACTCTCTGCTTTGCCACTATCATACTATGGGCCCTATACTTAGTAATACTATAGTAGCCTCTGCCTGTGCATGTTGTACGCTCGTACCTACTGTCACTGTGTCACCGACTCACAGTGTCACTTTAAGTTTACAGGATAGTCATAGCTCTCTTATCTCTTCTTTGAATTAAAAAATAGATGTTGCCCATTGCCAACTTCTTAATTCTTCAAAAGATTTGAATAATAATGGCATCTCCATCTGACAATGATTTGACACGGTGAGTGCCCTGAGTGCTGAGTGGGTATTTGACTAAATTTGAGTATTGCAAAAACTTGATTTTCTGAATGACTCCTGTCTCCTGAGTCCTGACTGGCTGACGCCTGACTGCATGAGATGATGAGCATCACAATTCACAGCAACAGCATCAATTGAGTTGATATGGTCCTAAATGAGCAGTATAAAATGGAATATCAATAGACAATAAAGCTATAAATATTTCAAAAATAATCCTCTAAGCCTGAAGAATATATATATTTTGGTATTTTTGTTTAATTGTTAAAGTTAGAAATTATTAGAAAGACCTGAAAGAGTCTAAGAGACTTTTTCTAGTACCTTTTATTGTCCCAAACTGCAGGCCAAATTGGAAAATTGTACTATGAATAGGACAAAAATGCCTGTAAATGCCCACAGTGATCACTAACCTCACCAGCAGCACCTAAGTTGTTTGCCTTCAATGGAAATGATCTATTTTTCAAAGCTTAAAAATCATAGTTCTGACTACTTTTGTATCATATACTTATATATACAGTTTAGACTTTAGAGGGACAAGCAGCAAGATTGTACAGTTTAGGCCAACTGGCCAAATCATAGCCCAAATGTTGACACATGGCATTGATTGCTGGTGAGGGGCATGGGCCATGGAATATATCTACTTCCTCAGTCACAACTTGAGGCTTCGAGAACCTAGAAGAATTATATCTTATAAAATAAATGTGCACAATCGGGCCACAAGATTTCAAATTTGGGCAAAGTAGGTTACATTAGAGCTGCAAGATTCCATTGGGAACTTGTGCAGTAGGAAAATTTTGTACCAGATTGATGGTACTTCCTGAGGCACAATAAGAACATTTTTTCTATTTTGGGAACTGCAGGATTCCTGCTTGATAAATTTTCTCCTATCTACAGTCAATATTACAAATACAAATGTTTCCCCAGTATCTCAGCATTTATGTATTTAGGGCTTTCAAAAGAAACAATCTATTTTGCAATCAGAAGTAAGCCTTAATTTTCTATTGCAATAAAAAATAATTTCAGTTTTTACATGGTAATTGAACCCTAAAATTATAATCCTGACCAATTTTGTATGGTTTTTACTGATGTGCGGCAAGTTTAGTGCAGTACCGTTAGCTGCTGCTTGGTGACTTTGGTGTGATTGATGGTAGTTGTTAACACAAGTGCAAAATCAAGCTAAAAGATTCAAAAATTAATTATAAATACTACGTCACTTTACAGCTTGAAGCCACCAAAATATATTAAAAAGGAAATTTCCCATTTTGTTGCCAATGCATTGCAGACTGTGAATTGAAGCTTTCAAGGTTGAGATGTTGGCATATTTTTAAGCTTACCATCAAGCCATCTTCACCTTAAATTTGTTCATGTGGCAGGCCTGATCACAAATATTGGATCAATGAATCTACACTATGTGAATGATATCTGCCATGATTTAGTCTTCATAATTGGTATCTGTTACTTGCATTGAATTGTAACATTCTGAGTACATATCTGCCATTTAACATATTGATCTAAAGTTTTCATCAACGGAGAAATGTAATTCACATCCACTGTCTACACATTAACCTACCTTGGGATCTGCAGAGCAATTAATCTGCATCTTCAATCCAATAAATTTGGCATCCTTTACCTATGTTGTGCTGTACTTTAATCTAGATTGCCACACAACTGACACAAGTTTGCAGTTACTACCACTTGTCACCTTATTTCGGTCACATTTCATTGTTGGCTCCCCACTGCATTGCTGGCTCAGACTAAATGGTGTGTTTCATGTGCAGGTTGGCAGCGGAAGCACTGATGCGCGAGGCGGTGAGAGGAGCGGCACGCGCAAGCCTTGCTGGGCCCAGCGGCTGGAGAAAGCCCAACAGAGGGGAACCCAACAAGAAATTTCTCGCCAACACCATCAGGGGTAATGAATTTCTTGTCAATGCCATCATGGTAACTAATTCCTTGTCAACACCATCAGGGGTAACTAATTCCTTGTCAACACCATCAGAAGTAACTTATTCCTTGTCAAGACCATCTCATCAGGAGTAACTAATTCCTTGTCAATGCCATCAGGAGTAACTAATTCCTTGTCAACAGCATCAGGGGTAACGAATTTCTTGTCAATGCCATCAGGGTAACTAATTCCTTGTCAACACCATCAGAGGTAACTTATTCCTTGTCAAGACCATCTCATCAAAAGTAATGAATTCCTTGTCAACGCCATCAGGGGTAACTAATTGCTTGTCAACGCCATCAGGGGTAACTAATTGCTTGTCAACACCATCAGAGGTAACTAATTGCTTATCAAAACCATCAGGGGTGACTAATTGCTTCTCAACACCATCAGGGGTAACTAATTGCTTGTCAACACCATCATGGGTAACTAATTGCTTGTCAACACCATCAGGGGTAACTAATTGCTTGTCAACGCCATCAGGGGTAACTAATTGCTTGTCAACACCATCATGGGTAACTAATTGCTTGTCAACACTATCAGGGGTGACTAATTGCTTGTCAACACTATCAGGGGTTAACTAATTGCTTGTCAATGTCATCAGGGGTAACTAATTGCTTGTCAACACCATCAGGGGTAACTAATTGCTTGTCAACACTATCAGGGGTTAACTAATTGCTTGTCAATGTCATCAGGGGTAACTAATTGCTTGTCAACACCATCATGGGTAACTAATTGCTTGTCAACACTATCAGGGGTAACTAATTGCTTGTCAACACTATCAGGGGTTAACTAATTGCTTGTCAATGTCATCAGGGGTAACTAATTGCTTGTCAACACCATCATGGGTAACTAATTGCTTGTCAACACCATCATGGGTAACTAATTGCTTGTCAACACCATCAGGAGTAACTAATTGCTTGTCAACACTATCATGGGTTAACTAATTCCTTGTCAATGTCATCAGGGGTAACTAATTGCTTGTCAACACCACCAGGGGTTGATTCAAAATACAACTAGTTGAATTTTAAGATCACTGGTGGTTCAATTGAGACAAAGATTGGGCTAGTTGTAGCTATATGTTAATAACTAAAACTATGTCAAATCTATTTGAAGGTAAATAAGGTGATAAACTGTTATGTTGTCAGTCAAGTGCTAGTATTTTCTCACGTGAATCTTATAATCGGTCTATTCTGTACTACTAAATTGCCTCGCCACTAACTACGTTTACTTCAGTGATACGTGTTCCTGAAAATTTCACGCCATATTTGTTTCAGTGTCTTAGAAATAATTAGCCAAAATATTGATGTATTCGATGGACGGAATAAATCATAGGTAACATCGTAACCTCAAGCATGCAGGGGTGATGCTGTATGTACAGTAGTTCTGTTCATCAATGTTCACTCGTGCTCTATTATGTGTCTGAAAGACACTAAAACTTTTCTTCATATGCTACTAATTATAAATACAAGGATTATTTATTATGTGCCTGGTCAATTGTTATTCACTTGAAATTCCGCCTTTTTTGCATAAACTGTCTCTTCCAGGTGCTGTATTTTCTAACAAGATACGGGAGACAAAACTCAGTCAACGAAGTAACTTGAAGAAAGAAGCACTGGAAGAGTTGGTTAGAGATTCTCGAAAGTATAAGAAAAAATACCTCAAAGCATCAACCAAGAGTTGCAACGTAAACACTAGTTTAAGCAGTTCCAAATCCGACCCAACAAAGAATGAACCTCGTAAAGCGCCACTGAATGACCGAATTATGCCTCCCTCTCCTTCCCCCGGCATTGATGGTCGTATTATAAGCGAGACTTGCGTCGTGTGGACCGAGGAAAACTACCTCGAACTCCGGCCTGTCACTGAGGAAGAAAGAAAATCTAAACAAAAGGAGAAATCTTTACTCAGAGCTAAGAAAAAGCTAAGATCATTAAATTTTATACCGGCCAAAAACGCATCCTGACAATTCATCATACGTGTTAATAATCCCTAATTTAGTCGATCTGGCAGGTATTACAAATGAAAAAAAAAAATCGTCGAGAGATTTTCAATCATCCTTCATCTTTCAACTTATTTTTATCAGAATAAAAATTCTGACTCCGCAGCTAAATTTTCAGAAATAGTGTTCTTTCATAGTAACACCTTATTTTTGAAGTGTCACTAGGTATTTCAGACATATGCATTCGATCAAACGAGCTTTGCATAAATGCTCAGATCTCGACTTTCCCAAACTTTAATTTTGGCAGAGCGAAATCTTGCGGTATATTATTGACCTTTGTTTACAAAACTGTGCTACATAGCAGGCAAGGTATGTTGCCGTCTTACAATATCAGTGGAGAAGGAATTTATCATCAATAGTATTAAATTACTGCGCCAAGCTTGACAAGGAGAGAAATGATAAGAATTTGCAACTGGATGAAATAATAAATAGCAACATTAGCAATTCTATGCTAGAAAAGCAAATGAAAGAATAACCACGAATCAGGAAATTGCACCATCGACTTCTTAGACTAGGTGTTATCATTAAACACATGAACAACATAAAACCAGTAGCCTATGAACTGTAAGGTCGAGTGCACCTCTGGCGTTATGCATTATAGCTAATTACTTACGGTAGACCTTTCCCAAGTTTGCCTTCAAAGCGCATCAGACTACAGAAGTTGTAACATTTTTTGCTAAATTCATTCAATCAAATTCTACGATTTTGCAATAACATAAAATTTAAATCTAACAAGGCGCGCTATAATTTTTCTTCAAGAAATTTGTACTTGGCACCTCCCAATTCCATCTCATGGGTAAGGCATTGGGAAATTAATAAACCTACTTAACTTTAACGAGTAAACCCTTCAAAGTAAATCCGTTTAATGTAAGATTAAATACTCACAAGCTAATTTTAGCAACAGACGTCTAAATAAGCACGCCCAACTTATTTGCTTATCATCCTATGAGATTATCTCAAAACAAAATATATAAAATGATTTTTCAGGGCTGCCGCCTCTCGAATTAATTTCATTCGAAATTTACTTAAACCGTGATACATGCTTCCTTTAATTCAAATAACTTGATTCATCATCAAAATTGGCAAAAAACTAAAATAATATTCATAATCAGGCAGCACTCGGCGAACGGAACTGATGGCATGACCACAACGAAAGTTGCAAGTGTTCAGATGACTTCTTAGTAGAAGCCACTCCTCTTCCTCTTCTTTTTCTTCTTGGCGGGAGCATTCGGGTCAACGAGTTTGCGGAGCGAAGCTGGTCTCTCCCGCACAGCTGTTTTATCAGTTTTACGAGGGGCGATCTTGTAGCGGCCCAGCATAACAGACTGCAATGGTTGGATATGCGCTCAATGGAAACATTAAAACTTGCTTCAGATTAAAACGAGTGTAATTCACAAACTCATCAGTCAAATTATCAGTGTTAATGAAGCCTAGCCTGAAGGAAGTTATACATTCATTATCTCTTCATAAAAAAGTAAAAAATAACAGCTGATTAAAGCGACTTTTCAGATTAAACATCTTTATAATCGCATTAAAATTGTCACAAACCCTGACTCAAATATTTCACCAAAATGTACTCTAGAAGAAACAAAAATATCAACAATAACTAGTTGATTTAGTATCAATGTATTATAAAACGTAAAATATTGAAATACCTTATTTTCTTCTCCTTTAGGCCTGATAATGGATTCCTTGGCCAAGAGCTTTGGCAGGGCCTTCCTCATGAGGTGGGAGATGTGCTCAGGTCGCACATCGTTTTGGAGAAGGATGTAATCCTTTATAGCCTGTAATAAAAGAAATATATTGCATGTAGTGACAATTTTCAGCTTGTACTGTTATTATTTAATTAGGCACGAATACTACAGACTTGAAGAAAAATTTTAATTCCAGGATACTTGGTGAAAAATTGTTCATTGGACAATTAAATACTTGGATGTTTAATGCTTGTATGCAAGTATTAGGGGATCATGTGGGTAAAAAATTTCATTTTCAGACGATCATTAAGAAACCAGGTACACATATGTAAAATAGATATCAATAACTTTTTGTTCAAAAAAATTAACAAAAAACGATAGAAAACGTGAAATTTATAGAAAACATAATAAAAGAGAGTACTATAAAAATCCATATCCTCCTAGGATTTTCAAGCTACAAAATCGAGACACATATCATTCTATGCGTGAATACCATATCTAAAGATCATCCGGTCATAATATTTTACATTTTTTTGGGGTTTTCTGATTTTTTAAATGTTGACCCCTTCCCTTCCTTTTATGAGAAACCAAAAATAAATTGAAAAAATGACTGGATGATCTCAAGAAATTTTTCTTACAAATCGAATGGTATATCTCAATGCTGTAGCTTCAAACTCATAGTAGATACCTATATTTTTAAGCTTGTGCATTTTGGAAATTTTAATCGTTCAGGGGAGCCAAAAAAATTAAAATGTATTAAAAAAGAATAGGTTATAAAATGGCTAGATATTGTAGCACAAGCTTTCCCATTGCTGGTACCCATAGTTGCATTTAGGGTACCAGCGTGCATCTTCAGACTTATTCTTGACCAGTTTAACATGAATAGTGAGCTGCAAATGTGACTTTTTTATATTTAAATATATAAAAATGTTCATTTAATACAAGTTCAAAAAGCCTAATGCAAAAAACATTGCATGTACATCCATGGTGTTTTCTTTCTTGAATGCCTATCATTAGTAGCTTTCAAACAAGTGCAAACACTTTGCAATCAACACAAATAATACCCAATAAATACAATTTTTAAATGAAAATTTGTAAATATTGTTATAAAATGACAATTTTGTAAAAGTTCAAAACAGCTTTATGCAAAAATTCTTGCATGTACATACATGGTACGTATGAGCTTTGTTGAACGCGTCTTGTTTGTAGCTTTCAGATGAGTGCTAACAGTTTGCAATTAACGAGAATAGTGATCTATAAATACAGATTTATTTTGAAGAAATCTTTGTATACATATTGTTAATTTTTTATCCATTTTTTAAATTGTGCAAAAACTAGAGCACGCACATACATGCGGTTTGCTGCATTAGATGCACCTTTTCAGCAGCTACAAAATGAGCCAAGAAATTTGAAAAAGCAAATTGATTGATTTTTGACCAACATGCTCTCCTTTATGTTTATTCCAATTCATCAAAAATTCAAGTGAAAATTAAAATTTGTGAAATAATAAACCAAGCCAAATGTTCAGTTAAACCCTTTCTATATGTAAACTTCCTATGGCAGTCAGAAATAAATATTACAGATTTTCACAGTTGTATTTTAGTTTACAAGTTAAGAATTTCTCACAATAAACAGAATATAAAATGAATTCAATATGATGGTTCAGAATGGACTAAGGGAGCATGTGACATACCTTGATGGTAGTTCCCTTCTTTTCATCAAGAGCCATGAGAGCCTGGAGAACCATCTCTGTGGTGGGCGGATTGAGGGCTTCACTTGAGCGACGAGCCTTCTTACGCTGCTTCTTGACACCAGCTTCATCTTCACTCTCTGAAGCTGTACAGACATGAATAAGTTTCAATTGCTGGACTCGATCAATAACTTTTTGACTAAACTAAAAATCTGGTAATACATATATTTTTTCAATTCAGCATCAGAAATTTTTTTTATTTATTTTCTTATTTAATCAACTTAACTTATGGAATAGTACAAACCTTTTGCTTTTTTTGCTGTCTTGGCCTTTTTCTGAGGAGGAGCTGCAGTGGCTGGTTCTTCTTCTGATTCTTCTGTAGACTCAGGGGCAGAACTGACTTCCTCAGCCTCTTCTTCTTCCTGGGCAACTTCTGCTACAGGAGCTTTGTCACGCCGGCCCATGCCTGTCGGCTAAGCAACAGGCATAGAATTTAGATGCATATATCTGCTTTCCAAGCAATAAAATGAGATTTGCAACAAAAGTTTCGAGTCATTAAGTTTTCCATTAGATGAAGTACCGTAAAATGGGGTAACTTAGACCGGCGGGGTAACTTAGACCACTTTTCGTTTTTTTAACAAAAAACCCCTCAACTCAGCAACTATTTGACATAGAAAAATTTTGTCAATTGGCATTAAAGGCCTAATACTGAGGCTACATAACACAATAGAAAGATTTAAAAAGTTTGCATATCTAATAGGTTAAAAAATTAAAAATGTTACCCACGAAAAAAAGCTATTTTTTCGAGTCATTAAGTTTTCCATTAGATGAAGTAGGTATTTCCCCTATAATTGTTAACAGAATCAAGCCCTGAAATTTCAAATTTATTGGAGATATGCAACTTTTAGCTGCAAAGTTCAGGTAAATAGCAAACCTTTTCCTATCTAGCATTGTAAGCTGCTACAATGCAGTTTAACTGCCTACAACTGCATTGTAGTGTGTTACAGTTAACTACAGTGATCTGTAGTTAACTGCAGCTCAACTAATTACAGATCACTGAGCTAACCTTTTATTAGTGATGCTACAATAGCAAGGTTTTAGATTGTTATAAAAAACTGAATAATTTAGAAATGGCAATGAAGCTTTACCTAAAATACATGAACTTGGAGCTGCAGCTTGCAACGTTTCATATAAGAGGTTTTATCTTGCACCAGTACCAAGTACCTATCCAGAAAATTAGTTAAGGATAAAAAAATTACAGCCAAAACAATCTTTTACAATTTATAATAATTTTTCGAAATTGCAGGAAATTTTCTTTCCTTCTCTTCAGATTGAAATGAAAAAAAAAAAAAATAGGCAAGAGCCTGGGAAAGTGTAAAATTGTCCTTGAGTATAGGATTTTTGTCTCAATCATAGGTTACCCAATGCCACGGTGCAGAGAGTGGATGAATATTGCAAGATCTTTGGCGATGCTTCAGTAGCAAAAATTTATGGCTTCAGAAGATCTTGCCGACACATTTAGATTGAAATTCTTTCATTTAATATATTTGTCAGTCTTCGGCCAACTATTTAAAAAAAAGTAAGGTTTCCGGTATGTTGGATTGATCAGTATGCAGTGAAGCTTGTCCGGAAATCAGTTGCGATGAGTTCCCACCAAAAAAATGTAAACATCAAGTTTAGGATTACGTAGTTGCGGTCACATTAGAGTGGTCAGACTGCATTACCACATGTTTAGTTGACACTTGCTGTACAATCGGACTGTTTTTAGGGTAAAATTAGTTATTTGGAGTAACACGTGCATGCAACCTTGTAAATAAGTTTGTGGCTTGTAAATAGTTTTGCGTTACTCAGCGTAAATGGCTTTTCATTAAAAATTACACGGCGACGCTTAGGGCTTAAAAACCCATATATTGGCGACGCTGCATCCACCCTCTGCACCATGGACCCAATGTGGAATATATATTGCACCAAAGTTCCCTAAAATTGTGGGTGAGAATGATCACAATTTTCACCAATGATTTCAAAAAATTACATAGGCTAGGCTGCTGTTCTTCTTTCATGCTGTAGAAATTGCAAAAAAAAGCCAAAAAGAAAGTGAAATTGGCCAGATTTCCAGGCATTTTCATACAATTTATGGATGGTTTCTGCACAATTTCTACTACAGAAAGTCAGAAGTTAGATTAGAATTTTTTTATTTATGAATGAAATTGAAGTTTGATTGTGCAGTGAGTTTTATCAACAATTAGTAGATAAATCATCTAGCATTGACATAAATTCTATTGTGAAAACATTGCCATTTTCAGAGCCTTGAGATTCCTGCTAATTATAATTCATCTAGCAGTAGTGCAGTACTAGATGAATTAGGCTATCTCCTATCTAATTTTTAATAAAACTTGAAAAAATTTGAGTAGGTGAAAAATTTGAGTAGGTGAATAGGCTAGCAGGTTCCTAACCATAATATATGATAATGCAGTGCCAACTGCTTCGTAGCTGCCTCGATAGTCTAGGTTTCTCGCGACCGTCAATGTTCGAAAACGACAAACCACCGGCCTCACGGCCGCGGCCATTGTGTCTGCTGACTGCAGACCGTACGTGCGTGACGGCCACCTCCGTATATCCAACCACCCTTGGCGCCAATTTTGAAGTCCTTATATAGGGAGCCGTCGCGCACAGTTAAGCCTATTCCCTCGAAGTGACGCGCATTCTTTCGAATGGAATGTCCCTCGCAACGCTGAGCGTCAACGTTTCAATGTAAACAACCTTTCCCACGGTCTCGCAATAACGGCCCGCATTCTTAACATCTACGCATAATACATGTTCAATATTACCTATGTTCAATATTACCTACTTTATTCATTACCCCTTAATGAATAAAGTAGGTAAGATTGAACATAGGTAATATTGAACATGTATTATGCGTAGATGTTAAGAATGCTAGGAATGCGGGCCGTTATTGCGAGACCGTGGGAAAGGTTGTTTACATTGAAACGTTGACGCTCAGCGTTGCGAGGGACATTCCATTCGAAAGAATGCGCGTCAGTGCGAGGGTTAGGCTTAAGTGTGCGCGACTCTAGCATATATAAGGACCTCAGATTTGGCGCCAAGGGTTGTTGGTTCTACGACGGAGACCGTCACGCACGTACGGTCTGCGGACGTGCTGCGGCCGTGAGGCCGCGGTGTTACCGTTTTCGAACATTGACGGTCGCGACTTGCGAGAAACTTAGACTCACCGAGGCCGTCACGATTCCTGTGAGTGCGACAAACAGATACAATGGACGGCTACGACTTCAACAAAGTATACGGTCACTATTTTCATCTGAAGAAGTGGTACGGTCACAGTCACCTCGACGACAGTACGACAACGGAGTTGGAGTATTTTCATCGGCTATGAAGACGAGCACTACTATTCCAAAGTACGGTCATCATAAACTCCACAGTTAGACCGGCCGCGAGACATCACTATAGCGCGAGAAATACGGCCATGAAGAAAGAGCAACTGTGAAGAGAGAAGCGCGATACAGCTGCAGAACGGCCGCTTAACAAACGGCTGCACGCGAGAATACAGCAGCGGTACGGCCGCTCAACCTACGGCCGCTCAACCTACGGCCGCATAGTGTGCGTGTACAATACGGTCGTTTGCAACGGTCGTACGGCTCAACGGAACAGCAATTGATCAACGTATGTAAACTGATAGGTTCTCACTTTTGATTGTGTAAAGCTCACCTTTTGTTAACGTAGGATGTGAACTTGAAATTTCTCAATTTAATATGAAATGTATCAGTGTTTCATTACAACCCTCTCTTTGTATTTTCTTTGCCGTAACGCTTCCAAAAAGAGAACCTTATTCACGTGCCAAATCAAATGCCACTCGGCAGACTACCTGACAAAACGATAAGTAATGAATACCGGTATCTTGAACCTGAACGTAACGTAAATTTGGTGGAGTAGATCACTCCGATTCAACCAACTTTAAAAGATATGAGACGATAGGAAACGTCTCTCTCTCTATATATATATAATATTCTCTTAAAAAATACCTATTTAATCAACTAGCGATCTCAGCGTAATTTTGTCTTCGTTGAAATGAAACAGAGCAATATCTTATTGTAGGATAAAATAATGTGTAATCAATGATAAACACATTGATTTTGGTTTTATTCAAGGTTATAAAGAATAGAATATATACTACTATTTACTATCGACTACAATCTACTATTTAAATTATCACTACTATCCACTATTTGAATTATTGCAGTATCTACCATTTAAAATATTAATTTGTGTCGCACACAACTATTTTTATATCTTTTGCCACCAAGCTGAATTACAGTAATTTTAATAGGCAATCTAGGAGGAAATTTTATTAGACTTCGAACGAATGGCCGCTGCACTTGCTGCTCGGTTCGAAAATAGCCGCATTTACTCGCACGACTAAATTTCAGGTACCGCCCAGCAATATAACGCCCGAATAATGCCTTCTCTCATTTACAGATATTTTTAATTCTTTTACGAGAATGCTAAGGTATTCATTTCTACTGAATGCATTTGTTAAAATTTGGCTATCAAATCATATTCCCAGCATAAACTGAACTATTCTCTCATATAAAAAAGCTCGACAATATACAATTTGTATCTCATACAAATATAAACAAAAACAATAAAAAACACTTACAAGGTGCTGAAGTTTATCAAAAATTATTCAAGTAAAATTGTGACAATATAGTGATGTAACCAATGATTAGGGGTTTTAGGCCTAACTCAATTGTAACGTCGTCAGACTTCGATGCTTCACAGCTCACTGCTTTCTTCCAGAGTTCAAACGTCAATGGCAGTTGCTGCTGGTACAGACAGACGCTTGCTTGAAAGTTTGCTTGCGATCACATCATAAAAACTTATCGCAGAAAAAATAATCGATTTTAAGAAATAGAATAAAAACTTAACTCAATCGAACAACTTTGGATTCAGAATAATCCACGAAAATCTCAACATAAAATTTTATATAGATAACAACATGATAAACTTGTTTTTCATGATGAAGTAAATTTAATGCAATTCTCTCGTATGAATGATTTTTGCGATGAAATGTGCATCATCAAATCACTCTATTATAAAATAGACATTTCAGAAAAATGAGTTCTTCGATAATTTCATAATGTTTCGCGGTCCGCGTCGATGCAAAAACTCACTCGCTCCTCGTCTACGCTGTGGTGAGGTGCTTATCGACGGGCTGAATAATAAGTTGCTCTATCTACTAAAAGCTTACTCATCACTATCAATATCAAGAGAAAATTAGTTTTAAGGCTATGGACAGTACTAATGCTCTTCTGAAGGTAATAATACTATTAAATGCTTTATATTTGGTATACAGGTTTCCATGGCAACCAATGCTTTGACATATAAACACAAAGTGCTGCAACTAAAGCATGCGATTGATACACCAAGCATTGACTACTAGAATTAAATAGATGGAATGATCAAATCTGTTTTCTTATATTCTAACTAATTCGCTGTTGGTACTTTTTGAATAGTTAGGAATTATTTCTGAAAATAACCTCTACGAACATCAAAGTGCTAATATGCAATACAACTTGAGGCCCATGTCTAATAAATTACTAAACATAAATAAAAGTTTATAATTAATAGTTGAAGGAATCGGTTACAACCTGTTACGAGAAAGCCCAAAAAAAGTTAAAAACCAGTTAATGGAAGTTTTTCAATTTTTAGTTGAAACGTGCAGATAAAAAGCTAACAATAATTCGATTACACATGCAGAAGAAAAGTGCCAGATATCTGGTTTTAACCTACTGATGAAAGGCTTGAAATCTTTAAGCGTAATCTGCTATGAATATTTTATTTAGAGCCTTAAATAATTGCAGGGTCGTATCCACTATTATGGACGGGAAGGCTATTACCAAGCCATGCAAAATGCGAGCGTGGAGGGCATCAAGCGCCTGGGCAACGCTCCCGTCTATCGCTTCTACTCCGCCGTGTCACACCTGCTGCAGGGGCACACGCAGGAGGCTATACGGCAGTTGCAACCACTGCAGGTGAAAGTGTCAATAATATACTTATTAACGGAAAATATATTGCTAAAATTATGACAATATGTTATAATATTATAATAATGCTTTGGTTTATCTCTCAGTGGATTTGTAATGATTTGAAGAAGAATGGCGAGGAATATCTGCCTACGAAAAGTTCAAGCATTGATTAATGGAAACGGAAAAAAAGATGTGGAAACATCACATAAGCCGTTGATTTATCTAGGCACTGTCAGATTAAATGAATCATATTTTAAATTTTTTTTCTAATATTGTTAATTAAAATTTGGAGATAAAAAGGAAAAATAAATCGATAATGTGACGATCCTCAGAGCGAAGACAGCGTGGTGAACCTGGGAGCAATCACGGCGCTGCTTTACGCGCATAAAAAGTGTCAGAACATCGACAAGGAGGCGGTAGCTCAGCTAGACGCTGCCTTGAAAGAGGAAAGAAAAAAGGCTTCTGACGAGGTGAATTATTATTCAAAATTATTTATTTTCACTCAAAGTCATTTTAGCCATGAATCTTAACCCACAAACTACTCTATGGCTTAAAAACTGGGCACACAAAGAAATTGCTCTTGATTTCACAGAACCATTCTAGCAGAGAGGAAATGAATAAAAAGGATTTCCAAACGAAAAGTAGAAATAACAGCAAAGATGTATACACTTTTTAGAAAATCAATGTTGCAAATATCTCGTTTCAAGCGAAGATGAAGAAAAGTTGGTATCACAATATATTTATTAGTGAGATCATTATTATTTATTTTGACCTCTCCATGCTTCGAATCTGTGCAAGTAGGAAGAGAATTAATTTATTATTATAGTATGATTAATTTTGCAGGCTCTTTACTACGCAGGACTCTTCCTCTTCTTCGCAGGGCGTAATGACAAAGCCCGGGAGTACATTGACAGGTGCAACGTCTATGCTTAAGCTCGGGTGAATAACTTGATAAATATTAAAGGCAGATGGTCAGCGCAACATAACAACTGTATGCGCAGTCTCGAATTAGAGCTATTAAAATCCAGAAAAGCAAATGAAAATTATTAGTTTCAGTTCCAAAATAACATTTGATGTCCGTGAAAATTTGATGTTTAACGAAGTTGTATAAAATTATTTGTGACTTTCATTTCATTAAACTCAAGTTCATCTCTCAGTCCATTTACTACTATTTAAAGATTATAATGCGGACAAAATTATTTCATTTAAGCTGATTACTTAGATTAAAGCATTCAACAAACTGACGAATTTACAAATAAAAGTAGTCAATGTTGGACTTATTTCATGTTTTATGATTCACAGGCTGCTGAAGCTCAACTCTGCTTCCCTGGAAGGTCTCGCTCTTAAAGGGTGGATCGAGATACAGGCTGGCAAAGACACGAAGACAAGAAACATCCAACAGTTCTTTCAGCGAGTGCTAGAGAGGTCAGGAACTATAATGAATGAAATTCGCAGTAATGATCGGAAAGATTGGCACCATGAGAGAGAAAAATTAATTATTACGAAATGCAATAATTGTCTCAATAATACTTTTTGGTCGTTTTTTAAACTCAATCAGAAAAAAATGGTTTAGGAGAAGTTGAATAGTCTCGTAGTATTTCGTGAAGTAATTATGGAACGATCATAGTAAGTGTAGGTAAATTACGTAGTAAAGAGACGAAAAAACGAGAAATTACTGATGTAAAATATTTTGCCTCAATGGGATGAAAATATATGTAAGATTATATTGATATCGATCTTTTTTGTCATCTGAACACGAACTAATTAAGCTTAAACGATGTTATTTAAATTTGACCGCATTACATTTCCGCACCATTATACTTATATAATTTCAACATTAAATTACAGTGCCTGAACATTGTAATTTTATTTCATTGAAATTATATTTTTATCATTCTAACAGTAAATTAAAATGCCTGGACAATGTTAGTTTTATTTTGATTAGGTAATATTTTCATTATCTCACCCGTACTTTCCTAAACATAAATAATGTAACTTTTATTTTCGTGACCCGAGAGCAGCCAGCCGCAGCACCTGGACGCACTGTTCGGTCGTGCCAAATACTTCGAGTCAGTTGACCAGTACGCCGAGGCCACCGAGGTGCTCAACTACATTATCGTCACCATCCCAAACTTCATTCCCGGACTCGTCGAGAAAATTAAAGTCTTGCTCGCTGGGCAAGATTGGGACCAAACGCTGGATGCTGCAAAACGGTAATGGAACTTATTTACAATATATGGTTATAGATAAACGAGAATGAAAATAATTCATGGGAAAGACGAGCTTATCGAGTTATTTGACCATTTATATTTGAATTCCACTACATTGCTCTTCTGAATCGGTAAATTTGACGATAAAAAAGCTAAGATTTCAATGTAGTAGACACATAATGTGATGAAATTTTGCACACAGAGTGCTGACGGAGGATCCTCATAATTTGGAGGGGATGAAGTACCGCGTGCTGTACGGCATGTGTCGTGTGGGGGAGTCCTCGGACCCGGCGCAAGGGCTGAAAGAACTTTACAGCGAGATGGACAGGTGGGGAAATGTTTAATACATCCTGATGGGCAGGGTGGCCCAGTCGTTACAGTTCAGAGTACTAAGATTGGCGCAGAGAGGCGCGGGTTCGATCCCAGCTCTGTGCGCCAGTTTCTGGTCATAATCGGCAAGGAAGCCGGGCGGTCAAGCAAAGAAAATTTGAAGCAGTGAGTTGCGAGTGCAAGCCCGCAACAAGCTGTGGATGTTCTGCCAAGTTAATGATCGGCGACAGGCCTACAGCCAAATAAACGCTGAAAAAGCTATACTATATTATTATACTGCTCAGATAATTTGTACTCTGTATAGTGTATACTAAGAGAGATGAGTGAGACTTTGTCCAAATAGCAATTCACTTTTCCCCCCGTGTGTGGTTCATCTTGACCCACTTTGGTCAGGTTGAAGGGTGTATCAGCGCAACGTGCGCTCATTGCTCATGTTGTGTGTATGAGTCACTATTTTGATAATATGACTCATTCTATTTTTCTGATAGCCGATCTCAGAAATACCATACCTTGAAGCGAGCATGCGGACTATAATGGAACAAGTTAATAAAAATAAAAGCAGAATTTGGAATTCAGATCTTACATTAATATTAGCATAGAAACATTCAATATGCATCAATAACTGAACTACGACCACAAATAACTGTGTTCAAAATCAAGTCCTTACTTCATCTGAAGAATAATAACGAAAACGAAACAATAACGAAATAACGAAAATAATAACATAACGAAAAAAACATAGCTCAAACATCTCTTGCCAAAGAAATCGTTAAATAATAATTGATATTTATTTAGAACCTAAACATTATTTGTTGGCAATAAAAGCCCTTTTTCTCCAGGAGCGAAACAAACAACGCAGCGCTTTTCATCACAATGGCTCAACTCTTCTCTAGACTGGTGAGGCCGATTACCATATGCTTACAAAAATTCATAATGTACAATTGTACATTGAATAAGTATATTATATGTCGTGGCTTATGCAAGCCCTGTACCCAGCCATCTGTGTTATTATTAATCGCTGTTAGTGGTTTCTAAAATCTTTTGTAGTCGACTGAAGGTCTTCTACTATTGCTCCGATATTTCTAATGGTGGTGCGGAGTCCAACTAACTTCATCGGGATATATGATTCTGTTATACGCATATTGAATGTAATCAGGCTTTTTTAGTCTAATTTATGGTTAAATCTTCTTACTTTATATACCTGGGCATTTTTCATTAGCAGCAATCAACTGATAATCAAACGCGACAGAATCGTTCGATGTCGCTGCAGATGTCCTTACGATCGGATGGCGCACATAATCTTATTTAATTGCAATTATGAATGAAGTGAATTCATTTGTATTGTACCCTATAAATAACTAGTGAAGATGAAAGTTGAAATTTAAATTATATGGATGTGGTGACACTTGTAAGTTGTACTTACAGTGCGGTAGGTCGCCAGCCGTGCTGGAGGAGACCTACATGATGGCCAGCCGAGCAGCCAAAGTTGACACCAGCAACGCTGAGTACCTCACCGAGGTTGGCTACCAGTGCCTTCTGCTCTCTAAGGTTAAAGAAGCAACCAAGTTCTATCGCAACGCCACGAAGCTCGACGAATCCTCTGTTGCTGCGCTCACGGGTGAGTTTTATGTACTAAATGGAACAACAAATTCGTACGTAAATTATAATATACACGAATGAATTATTTATTACCATATGTATGAGCCTTGACATGTCTTAGTGGAATTTTCATGCAACGAAACTCTGTGAATGCTTTGGAATATGCTGGAGCATAGAAATTTTGTCCATAAACAAAGGCATATGTCTCTCCATCACTAAAATTTGGCAAAGAAATGCATTCCAAACTATCATTGAATCAGAAACTTTGGTAATGTCATAATCTGATATTGATCGATTCTTCAGGTATAATTACTTGCCAATTATTGGACGGGCAAGTCGACATGGCAGAACAGCAGCTCGACTTTTTGAAAGAGGTGCGTTGAAAACTGTAGTGACGGATAGTTTTATAATCGTCAACCGAATATCAAATATCTTTGAAAGAAGATGAGGTGTTCTTCATGAGATGTTTTTCGATACCTCGTAGGATGCATAATTGCAAATATGCCTGCTCAAAATAATCGTGTTGTTTGCTTATCTTGAGATCCACACCACATAAGCTGAAATGCAATCAACATTACCATGCACGTTTTAATGGATTCAGGTCCAGCGATCGCTTGGAACATCCCCTGACATACTTTATTTGTCTGCGGTGCTCAATCGTCTCAAGAAAGGACCAGCGGAAAAGAGTATTGGTTAGTGGTCCCAGATAGTTGTAAAACACCTAGCAAGATTTTTCATCGTCATATCGACTTTATATTTTGTTAGAATTAGTACGGCTATCAACTCATTTCCTCGATATTGACAATTTTAATTGTGATAAATGAAATAAAGCTGAAGCTTGAATGGATCTGATACATGAGCGGGATCTCTCTTAGGTCTTCTGAGCGAAGCAATCGAGAATCACTACAAACATCTGCGTGGCCAAGGCTTCGGAGCCACCTACTTGGCAGCCTTGAACCCAGATTTCCTCCTCATGATTGTACAGGAGAGCCTTCTGTACGCTCCTTCTCAGGTACTTTGCAAGCTGCGTACTACAGGTACTTTGCAAGCTACGTACTGCAGGTACTTTGCGAGCTAGTACTGCAGGTACTTTGCAAGCTAGGACTGCAGGTACTTTGCAAGCTACGTACTGCAGGTACTTCGCAAGCTACGTACTGCAGGTACTTTGCAAGCTACGTACTGCAGGTACTTTGCAAGGTACGTACTGCAGGTACTTTGCGAGCTAGTACTGCAGGTACTTTGCAAGCTACGTACTGCAGGTACTTTGCAAGCTGCGTCCTGCAGGTACTTTGCAAGCTACGTACTGCAGGTACTTTGCAGGCTAGTACTGCAGGTACTTTGCAAGCTAGTACTACAGGTACTTTGCAAGCTGCGTACTGCAGGTACTTTGCAGGCTACGAAAAGTAATTAGTTATGAATTGACCACCTGGTATTTGAATTTATTTTTTGAGAAACATGTCTGAGAAATTGGAGAGATTTTCTGTGCTAAATAACGATAGGAGTTCGATGGTTGCGAACTGTTCTTTATGGCGACATTTAAAGCATGGATTTTATTTAGTTTCAGATAATATGAATGTCATTTATTCACAGGATAGTTTTGCAGAGTCGAACCCAAACATTAGCGGAGGTTTGGATTCAAGCACTGGCGGTGAAAGCGACAGTTTCACGCTGGTCAAGCGGTGCTCGATGGTCCTCGAGAGCATCGGCCAGGCATGTCCAGCTTTGCTACCGGCATTACTCCTCACTGCCAGGATAAAAATGATCACCGGGGACTTGAGGGCGGCGAATGCCACGCTCTCACACATCATCGACAACGTCGGTGAGACCGGGAGAATGACACCTTTGTTTACCTGATAAGTCAAACTAAAATTGAAGCCAGAGCTGAAACTAAAATTGGAGCCAAAGTTGAAACTAAAATTGAAGCTGAAGTAGTTGTGGAATAAGCACAGAAAGAGCTCAATAAATGAATTACCAAAATACACGTCGAAATTGTATTAATTAGAATGATTTAACTGTGGAAATGATAATTTTTCAGCAATTATGGATTTTATATTTTCCGTCACGCGATGTAGAATTTACTTCATGAAGCTGTAACAGCTCAAAATTAGTAGGTAAATTGTGTAACCAAGCCAAAGTGACGCAAAGTGCCGATAGAATATAAATGTAACCAGTTAATCTGTTACTAGATAACAATATCAGCAAATAAATAATACATACCAATGCTCCCTAAACTTGAGTGAAAGAATAGATAAATATTAACAGCAAACTTGAAATAATGAATTACAATAAATTTTTGATGCATTAGGAAGTACGAGTTCAGAGGCGAGGCTGCTGATGGCAGAAGTGCAGCTGCAGCAAGGCAACTACAAACAGGCGCAACAGTCGCTCGAGGTCGCCCTAAGCTTCAACTTCGAGGTATGTACCCGCAACACGCTATGTCCCAAACTTCCGATGGGAAATAAACGAATTTCCGACAATTTTTATTGTATAAAAGAAAATGGAAGGCTTTTTATAGGGATTTAAAGAAGCTTGAGCGAAAACTCTCGAGTTGTAGATTAAAACTCGCTAAAGCAATTAAAATGAGACATAAATTAAAAATCTGGTCGTAGGTAACACTGCAATTCGCTCGGACCATCTAGAGAACTAGATCATAATTCGTACTTGATGTTTGGAGATGAAATTCTCTAAATTAATTTAAGAATAAAGTTTGCGGAAGCAAATGAGAGGCACTAATCTAATTACAAATCGTGCGTGGCAGGTGCGAGAGCAGCCAACCTTCCACCTGGTGAAGGCGCGGGTGCTGAAGAAGCAGGGCGCCTACAGCGAGGCACTCAAGACACTCACTAACTGCCTGCAGCTCAACAAAACCAAGGCCGCTTCGGGCGGTGCGTGAAATCATATTCCAAATCAGTCAATACAATTCAGCAATTCTTACTGATTTACATATGTAAATTATTCCGTGGTTAGACCAATTGGTTCTAATATTAAAGACTATATCAGAATAATTTCGTTAAATTTAAATATATTACTCCTATAACGGAATAAATAACTAGACTCCATGCTGGAGAACTCAGATGATTATAGGAACAATGTCCATTTTTAAATGATGACGCGTTCAGCATATTTAAAGTTAGTAACTCCCTGAAGACGTCCAATCATTCAAAGGCCACAAACCAGCGTGTGCAAATTGATGCATAAGGTATTGTTAATCCCATATGTCGGTACAAGTTTGGAGAATAAGTGGTGGTTGTCTTTACGATTAAAGTGGTAAACACTAAGTACCCTTCTGTAGATTGTATTCACGACAAACCATATTGGCTAATTTTTAAATTCGTTTTCAAATAGTACTCATTTGAATCCGGTAGTTTGGCTACCAGGCCAATATTTCTATGCACGAGGATGAGAAATAAAAAGTTGGTTGCCGCTGACCAGGCTCGTCGTCCAACATGATGTTGGCGTCAGGGGGCGGGTCACGCGAGTTGACCATCACAGAGAAGACCTCTGTGTTCCTGGAGAAGGTTGACTGCCACCTGCTGGCGAAACAGCCTGAGTTGGCAGCCCAGGTCATGGAGGAGGCTCGAGTCGCTCTCAAAGTGAGTCATCATGCAGCTTATTTTTCTCCTATAGAGTCATTCATATGCATTAATTCTCTTGAAACTTAATTAAACAATTTAATTTTTTACACGAGGAGACGCATTCCGATTCAAGTTATTTTTAAATAAACTGCTTTGCATCCATAAATAAACTACTATTTAATTGTATCAAAATTTCTTTGTTTGATACCTACTGGTCAATGACTGAAGTGAGTGAGTGAGAGGTCTTTTAATCATCCCAAATCTCTAATAATTATATATATTAGTTGCTTTCTAATATTTGTCTCTGCTTCCTTGTATACTACCTACTTGTAATTTTTGGGTACACTTTATAATCCAGTTTTAAAATTGTAGTTCATAATTTTATTATCTAAAACTTATAATTGAACTCAGGACTAAATGTAGATGAGGTGTTTCGATGAAGCGTCGGAACTGTGTCAGTTAAACATAGGGTCTACAAAGTATTTCATGATGCGTAAATGTACGGAGTAAATTAAATATTCGTTTTGTTGTCCGCGGACTTTGTCAAGTTTAAAATTGCGCCTGGATGATCTGCGCTGTTCGAGTCGGAGGTTCTTGGATTGCTTGCTGAGTTCTTCATGGCGCTGTTCGAGTTGGAGGTTCTTGGATTGCTTGCTGAGTTCTTCATGTTTTTTAAAACAATCATATTGAGTAAATTGTAACGAACTTCATAAATTCATACATCTAAAGCCAATAGGTCACAAAATGCACAGACTTGATCTTTGCTTTCAATACATAATCAGGCAGTATATACTTTTCTAGATCACAAAATAAAGAACAAAAGTAGATGGTTTATAATAATTTCATGTATGGGTCGAAGACATGGTAGGATAGTGAAATTAATCAGCACATTGATTTTATATCAGCATTCAAACTTGATATTATTTTACTGGTTATAAAATCAATGAACGAAATATTCAGCTAAAATCTTTTGATTAAGTTTCTTAGGCAGGTGATAGGTAATAGTCATTCATTCACATTCTTGAATTATTTACGCAATAATTCATGATTTGTTAACGTACTTTCCGATGAACGGCGAGGCGTCGCACAAACATTATCATTCGAATTATCTACATGCTGCCGTTTGGCGCAAGGATTGATCCAGAGCGAAATAATGAGCTTACGCACATGTTAATGCATATGTAATAAGTTTATGCACATGTCAATGCACATGTAATAAGCTTATGCACATGTCAATGCACATGTAATGAGTTTACGCACATGTCAATGCACGTGTAATGAGTTTATGCACGTGTTAATGCACATGTAATGAGTTAATAATGCCCATGTCAGGGCTCAGGAGAAGAAGTGCGTCTGAACGTGGCGTCAGCAGACCTGGCCCTGAACAGAGGAGATCCCCAGCAAGCACTTGCGACGCTTCGTGCCGTCGCTACCGACAACCAATACTACCTGCAGGCTCGCCATAAGATGGCTAATATCTACCTCAACCATCTGCACGACAAGCGCATGTTTGCTGCATGCTACAAGTGTGTTAATGTCATGTTTTATAATGATATTTAACACTTAATGCTCATGTTTTATAATGATATTTATCTCTTAATGGTCATGTTTTATAATGATATTTATCTCTTAATGGTCATGTTTTATGATGATATTTATCTCTTAATGGTCATGTTTTATGATGATATTTATCTCTTAATGGTCATGTTTTATAATGATATTTATCTTTTAATGGTCATCTTTATAATGATATTTATCTTTTAATGGTCATGTTTATAATGATATTTATCTCTTAATGGTCATGTTTTATAATGATATTTACCTCTTCCTCTTACAATTATTCGACATTTTAGTTTTGCGTAATTATAAACACAGTATGTAGATGCAAATTTAAACACTCGAAATATACAACATTCTGATTTACGTTACAACAGGGAAATGGTTGAGAAGTCACCGAGCACGCAAAGCTTTTTGGTGCTGGGCGATGCCTATATGTCCATCCAAGAGCCAGAGCGCGCCATAGAGGTGAGCTCAATGTGCCTTCGTCTTACTTTAGTGATCAAAATTTCTGCTGAAGTAGTTTCAGAATAAAAATTCTACTCGAAACACTAGAATTTCAGACATAATTCTCGGAAATATCTATACAGAAGTGGTAACTGAAATTACTTTCCACAGAAAAATTTGGCTTTGAGTTGAGCATGTATAACTCAAAAAAATATTAAATATAAGCCAATAGTTTTTTGAATGCAATTTAATATAGCACAAAACAAGCAGTTAAAATATAATATACAATATAATAATGATGTATTTACGATGTGATCATTACTAAAATCAGCCATGAGGAATACCCGAAATAATTTCGAAATGACCATCAAATCAAGAATTTTCACTGAGAATAGTAATTGAGCACATCGGATCAACAAAAATAGCACTTCATTTTTAGCGCATTTTCTCATTTATGGAAAAAAGGCCCTATTGTGCTCGCCACGCCCGTCCGTCCGTGATTTAACGTTTTCGTCGACGAGAAAATGTGCTCTATGTCACTCACTGCAGTGAGTACTGAGTTATATTTTTTTGTTAGTCGATTGGATAGGTGAGATTTAATATTGGATGAAGATTTTTTGGTAGTCGACTAGATAGTTAAGCTTTAATAGTGAATGAAGATGCGTGATCAAATTCCGCGGCGTGAACTGATTTTTTTCAATATTTCCAGATATGACATGGCGGAGCTGTTGCTGCGCATGGGTCAGAACGACAAGGCAGAGAAAGCCATCATGCAAGCGCTGGAACATGAAGGCAACAGCAATGAGATCTCCTCCATGGTCATGCAAGCCAAGCTCTTCAATCTGCTCGCCAGAGTGAGAATGAAAATATTATAATGACAATCCATTAGGAAGACAAACTCGTATGAAAGATTAGGAGAGACAAAGTACTGGACGATGGGATAATTTTTACCATTTAGCTGGTGAAACAGTTCTTTGGTTATTTTGTTTCGATATAATGTCCGTTATAGTTATTTCAAGCATCGTATAAAAGGTTTAGAGACAGTTTTCGCGCTGCGGGTAAATTTTTATTATTGAGCTCGTGAAACTGTTCTTTGGTTATTTTGTATCGATATAGTGGCGTTATAGTTATTTCAAGCAACAAATGTTTTGTATGTAAACAAAAATATAAACTTCCTAAGGTGTACGAGAAGTGGGAGGGCAAGTACGAACAAGCGCAGTCCACCCTGAGGCAAGCCAAAGATGTACAGGTGAAGGTGCTCAAGAGAGCCCAGGTGGAGCTCCCTATTGCACAGCAACATCCTGCTGTGCAAATCTATAATTCACATCTATATTGCACAGCAACATCCTGCTGTGAAAATCTATAATTCACATCTATATTGCACAGCAATATCCTGTTGTGTAAATCTATAATTCTCTTCCATATTGCACAGCAATATCCTGCTCTGCAAATCTATAATTCACTTCCATATTGCACAGCAATTTCCTGCTGTGCAAATCTATAATTCACTTCCATATTGCACAGCAATATCCTGCTGTGCAAATCTATAATTCACTTCCATATTGCACAGCAATATCCTGCTGTGCAAATCTATAATTCACTTCCATATAGCACAGCAATTTCCTGCTGTGCAAATTCCATTCACGTTTATAACTCCATTTCAAACCCGAATAACCCTCAACTGAAAGTTTACTCTGCAAATATTGCCCACTTTGCCAATGTTTCGGTTTTATTTTTTCTGTACTTTCCAAGTTTATCGTCAAATATTTTTCTTCTGGAGCACCACCATTATTTTTGAATGAGGTAACTGTCTTCAGTTACCTCATTCAAACCTCATAGTTACCCTGAAATACTACTGGAGCACAAATACCTTCCGTCACATAGGATAGCGCACTCATTCTGATAATACCCAAAGAATCCAATATTGACCATACGCAACATTTCTTTTATGTCGTAACATAAGAAAACAGACAAATTTTTTTTATGCTGGCAGCATGTGCTGCAAGATGGCTGAGCAGCACGCCAACCAGAGGAACTACGATGAGGCGATCCAGCTCTACAAGGACGCTCTTGACATCACACCCGACGATCCCGTCACTAGACTTGCCCTAGCCAAGCTCTACCTGCACGTTTGTAACTTATTAACTAAATACAAGCAGGACATGTATGTATTATTATTATTGTTAAGTATTATTGGGTTTATTGCAGATACGAGATGACAGGCTTCAAGTAATCAGCTGCCAGAAAAATTGCAGCTGTTGTGACTTTTCATGTTATTTCGATATATGAGCTCAATTGGAAATTGTGGTCAATTTAATTCTCTGCACAAACACAGTAACGGGCGAGTTAAATTTAACATGAATGAGTTTTCCCGTGAGAGTCAACTGCGGATCAAGGAGCAACACTTTCTTAAAGTTAATAATTTTTCTTGAGATTACGCTTGAATCACCATTTATATAGTCAAGGAAATAATATGCGTTTGTTCAGATCAACAACATGGAGATGTGTCAGAAGACGTGTCAGGAGCTGCTACGTGTTGATGAAGACAACGACGGAGCAACAGTGATGATGGCGGACTTGTCGTACCGCCGCAACCAGTACGACAACGCTATGTTCCACTTCCAAAAACTCCTAGGTTGGTTCTATCATGGAATATTATTAATCACGCCCTGGCATTTTAAGGTGAAACATTTTTATTGTCTAATACGCAGATTAAGACGTGATGTGTTTTTGCATTCTAATTTGAATTAATTTCTAACGAAGTATATAACTAAACGAACATATTGTTTTAGAGAACGCTTCAGGAAAATTTGCTGGGCGATGGCAAACAAAACTTACATTTCATTGCAATTTTCGACGTCTTGTAAAGCAAGGAAACAACATCAACGATCAATCATAATTATTCAGATCATTTTGCTCGGTGTAATGCAGCAGAAAGATATCGCACGTAAATTCCAGACCGCCGTCCTACGCATTACTCGGCCCTATCACGCCTCATTGAGGTGCTGCGCAGAACAGGCAGGCTGGAGGAGGCAGAACCTTACATGACGCAAGCGCAACAAGCCACGCATCGGCCCACGCCCGGCATGTTCTTCTGCCAAGGACTGCTTGACTGGTCAGATTTAATTTCATGAGTCTCATTGGAAGACAACGATACAATCGAATGTTAACAATCGAATACCGTGAGCGATCTAAGATAAGATAAAATATAAGTAAAAGTTAGCGTTTACCAAGTTTCATAAACTTAAAATTGTTCGATTTTAGATGAATCAGCATATCATTCGATTCAGGTTAGGTTTGTAATGGAAAAATTGGATTTAAAAGGTACACGGGTAACCCAAACTCAGCCTTGAAGCAGTTTAACCAAGCTAGGAAGGATCCCGAGTGGGGACAGCGCGCCATCTACAACATGATCGAGATTTGCCTGAATCCTGACAACGACACCTTGGGCGGTGAAACCTTCCAGTCGATGGACGAAGAGCTGCACCGCGACAGCTCCAGCAAAGACACGCAAGACATGGCCATCAGGACAGCAAATAAATTGCTCAAGGGGAGAACTTTTTTGAGAAGGCTCAAGCCTTTCCAGATTTTTTGTTATTTTGACAGGGGAGGGAAATCATATTGAATTTTCGGTTGAAATTATGATGCATACAAAAACCATTTACTCAAGTTTGAGGAAATAGAAGATAGTTTTAAACTTTATAACTCTCTCCTAAATGATAACCGAACAGTGTCATCATTCATCAAACAAGTTATAGTCCAGTCACTCTAACTTAACAATGAGAAATTAACCCAAATGGTTGAGGATATTGTGATCGAAGTTGCTAACTCATTGTAAATTGCCGAACTATCGGTAATTAAATTGAATTTTACGACTAACTTAACTTATTACAGGAGCTGAAACCGACCGTGGGTGACCAACAAATAAGCTATCAAGTGCTCAGCGGCCGCGTACTGCTCGCTACGAAGCAGAAGGGCAACGCTGAATCTGCACTACAGCTTTTCATGCAAATCGCTGGCATCGACACATACAAGGATCATGTGGGAGCAATATTTGGCATGGCTGCTGCCTACATGTAGATTTTTTGTTATTTGGACACGATAGAGTAATCATTTTGAACATTCGGTTTAAACTATGAAACATACAAAAACCATTTCCTCAAGTTTGAAGTAAGAGGAGATAGTTTTCAACTTGATAACTCTCTCCTAAATGATAACCTCACAGTGTCATCATTCATCGAACAAGTTATAGTCCTGTTACTTTTAGTTAATAATGAGAAATGAACCCAAATGGTTGAGGAAATTGTGATCGAAGTTGCTTACTTATTGCGAATTGCAGAATTATCGGTAATTGAATTGAATTTTACGACTAGCTTAAATTATTACAGGAGCTGAAACCGACAGTGGGTGACCAACAAATAAGCTATCAAGTGCTCAGCGGCCGTGTACTGCTCGCTACGAAGCAGAAGGGTAACGCTGAGTCTGCACTACAACTTTTCATGCAAATCGCTGGCATCGACACATACAAGGATCATGTGGGAGCAATATTTGGCATGGCTGCTGCCTACATGATTCTCAAACAGGTACATTTGCCAATTAACTGTATTGATATATGTTACTATTACCAAAGAAATAATACCCAGTCGATGAGTTATGTATTATGAAACGAAGAAATGATATAAATTCTGTCACACGTAGAGATTAAGCGATAACAAATTTTAAGCAATGGTAAAAGGTGCGACATAGCTATTCATAAGCATAGGTTTTTTAGCCCAGTAGCTGTTATTTCTTAAAAAGTCATTTCATTCTCTGCATTATCGAAAGACCCCGCGGGCGCGCAACACTCTGAAGAGAGTCGCAAAGGAACCGTGGAACTTCGAAGACGCTGAGGACTTAGAGCGATGCTGGCTTCTGCTTGCTGACATTTATGTGCAGACTGGCAAATACGACATGGCAACCTTCCAGCTAAAGGTGGAGCTTCGTTCTACGTGAGAGCAATGATCACTTTAGATAAATTTGGATTTCAGGTGAAAACCTCAAAAACTGATGTTTTGATCGCACAAAGTTAAAGCCGAATCGCTGAAAAACTCAAAATATTGACCGATAATGCAGATCATGGTCAAAAATAATAATAATAGCGGTTTCAGCGTTTATTAGGCCGTAGGCCTGTTGACGATTCTTAACATCGCAGAATATTCACAGCTTGTTGGGGTTTCGAACGCGCAACTCACTGATTCAATTTTGCTTTGTCTAACCGCCCGGCCTCCTTGCCGATTCTGACCATAAACTGGCGCACAGAGCTCTTATCGAACCCGCGCCTTTCTGCGCCAATCGTGTTACTCTGAACTGACCCACTGGGAAAAAGGAGCCACTCTTTAATTAGTGAATAAATTCTGTAGAATATAAGACTGGTACGTTCACACTTATTCTTGTGTTCAGCGTGTGCTGGAGCACAACCAATCGTGCATGAAGGCTTACGAGTACATGGGCTTCATCATGGAGAAGGAGCAAAGCTACAGGGATGCCGCGTTTCATTATGAACACGCCTGGAAATTCAGTGGCAATACAAACCCAATGATTGGTGAGTTATTCAACGACAATATTGCCTAAATCTCAGATAGTATGGTTATTCCAGTTTTAAATTTCATTCAGTGGCATACAGAAAACTCTTTCAGATATTATGTTAGGATAAATTTCATCTAAAAATGGACCTATAGACGCATATCTGTATTCATGAATATTTGTTGGTCGATCTGTAATCATTTGTGACCATGTTCTATCAAGATGACAATAAAATCATTAACTTACCATGATCTATGTCAAGCAAAGGAACCTCATTTAATTAAATTATGAACAGGTTACAAGCTCGCATTCAACTACATGAAGGCGAAACGATATGTGGACGCCATTGATGTTGCACACAGCGTTCTTGACAAGCACCCGGACTATCCGCGCATCAGGAAAGAAATCCTGGAGAAATGCAGGGCTAATATAAGAGCTTAACTAACTCTGAAGTCGATCTTTAAACGTTCAACTCAAATCAAGAGATAATCATCAAATGAGTTGAATTGTTGGGACCAGTACCTTATATTTAATTCAGAGCACAATTGTAAACATAACCAGCAATATTTTCAGTTCAAGCATTGGATTTGCGTGTATTCTATATAACGCAACCATAAGCCCTAAGTTATATACTATATTCCCTAAGTTATATACGTACTATATGCCCTAAGTATATTGTCCAAGTCATTGCAAGCGTCACACGATGCTATGTATTTTCTGAAAGCTGGCATCAGCAACTCTCAAGGGCTCTGGTTTCAACTAGTGTCGTAATGCAGCCGATTACACAGTATGGCAACATTTAATAGCACTGTCACTATAATCTCCAATTCACAAGCTTTCGTATACACGAAATTATGTTTTTTTATACCATTAATCCAGGAAATATCTCAAGAAGTGATAAAAGAAAAAGAATTTTAAAATCTTAAATTTGACATGGATTGAGGCGGTTGTATTTTTAAGATAATTTTTTGAGTGCGTACCTTAGAACTGAACATCACCAAATAACTTACACGAATTTGTGAAGATGCACGATTGAATAATATTCTATACTTGCAAAATAAAATGCAGTTCTATACAACGGCTTACATTCATTTCCTCCGGGTTTTCTCGAGGGAGGACTACAGGGTTAACACGAGGAAAACTCGTCAATTGATAGCGCAAAAAAAAATCTGTTAATCATGAAACATTAACATGAAAAATCGCTGAAAAGTAAGATAACTAACTAAAACGGGCATAAAAACAAAATCGAAACGTTGTGATGAATGGAAAATTAAAGACAGGAAAACCTTTCCTCAAGTTTCATCATTTTCATGCAAACCATACAAAAATCCTGAGTACATTACACAGGATGACAAGAGCAATGTAAATATAAAACTATATACTTTAGTATAAAAATTCAAACGGCCATCACTCTATACAGGATCGTTTACATCCGTACGAAGACCGTTAACCTAGTGGCGAAAAAAACAATGACAAATTTTCAGAATGTAGCCATGGCGAGATTACTCTTAATAACGATAATTTCACTAAAGAACAATGGCGACATGAATTGCTACCAGAATAGAAATTTCTTCGTTAATCCATTTTAAATAGAAAAAAAATTCACAGTCGATAAATTGATTTTAAATTATCTTATATAGATACAAGGTCCAAAGCTTGTTTTTAACTCAAAACTGTTGGAACTTCACTGCTGTAAATAAGATCGCACGTAATTCACCCAAATGACGGACGGGTGCAGTTAAAAAAGTATGCAGCTGCTACTAATAAAACGTAATGAATAATGCAGCTACTAATTATAATGAATGATGCAGTTCGTAATAGTAATGATTTAGCTGGTAGTTAAAATTAACGGTGCAGTTGGTACAATGGTACATGGTAATCAAAATGAAAGATTCAGTTTAACCTTGTAATGAACGGTGCAGTTTAACCTTAAAATGAACGATGCAGTTTAAACTTATAATGAACGGTGCACTTAAACTTAATAATGAACGGCGTAGTTCAACTTTATAATAAACGATGTAGTTTAAACTTATAATGAACGGTGCAGTTTAATCTTATAATGAACGAAGCAGTGTCAGATGACAGACAATAAATGTTGCATTGTTCAGGTATGTAATAAGAAATCTTGTAGTAGCTACGTAATAGACTAATAAAAGTACCTAACAAAAACAAAAATTTGATCAAATTATAAGGTCTAAACGATATAAATTCAGGCACATAACGTAATTCAACACAGATGAGATCTACTGCCTTCTGTCTTCCTAAAAAATTATTGTAGGTTCATTTAAATAACGAGTTTCTCTAGCCTCTTGCAATCAGATCTGAACATAACTAGAAATTACGCGAATGTATAATGAATGTAGAACGTTTATTTAAGATCGTTCAGTCAAGCTTTGCTCAAGTTTTTTTTTATCATTTTGTGGGGAATTTGTATCAGAGATATTTTTCTTTGATTTCCCCAAAGAAGGGTCCAGATTTTCTTTTTCATCACTACGGCTTGCGCAACGAAGAGGTTCCTGGCCAAGAATGATGCTCTGGTGCAGGTTGAAATTGCGAGTGACGGTGACCAAGTCAGGGTCAGCATTGATTACGAGTACGGGAGCTGGAGGCTGGCACGGCACGCCATGGATCAGCCAGCGTTCATAGTAGTGGTGGAGCTGTGGGAATGTAGACGTTATACTCAAATATTATAGGTAATTCTTTTTAGTTATGCTTAAATAAATAATAAATATCTTATAAATATGATTACTTACATACAAAATTTACTGCAATGTTGAAATCATTTCATAATTATAATATAACTTGGAAGACAACCCTTACCTTCTGCAGGTAAGCAAGTGGAACACCAGCCTCTTCAGAACGGCCCCGTTTTTGCATCCTCTGATGAACCACTTCAGGAGTTGACTGAAGATATACTGGAAAATTAAACTTGGTTGAAAAGAATTACAGAAACGTGTTGAAATTATTGATGATAGACATTCAGCCAACAGTAGATAATAATAATAATAATATTATAAAGAGATAGAACAGCTCACCGCAATTTGGTAACTACACAAGATATCGATATATAAAACAATCAAAAACTGCAGATTTGCAATATTTATCTGAAAGTAATGAATAGGTGATATATAGGTAGTTGCTTGTACTCACCAATAAGGTCAATGCCAAGATCCAAGTTCTCCTTCAGGAAGTCGAAATACTCACAGAGAACATCATATTCACTTGAATGAAGATCTCCTGAATCGTGTCCACTCTCAACAAAGCAATATCTGTAAATAATAATGGAGACTTAAATATCATTAGTATAGGTAGGTTGGCATAATTTGTTCCTTTAAGCAGATTCCAGTAAAGACCAGAGAATTTGTACTATTGACAATTTCCTTATTCGTTTTTTTTAGCATAATGAACAATATTTTTCATTTGCACTGGCAAATTGAAAATCATGGTAACAATGGATACCGTTATTTCTTAAAAACGTTTCCAAAGTATCAATCATACATTATCACGTTACAAGATGCATTGAGTGATGAAATTTGGATCGACATAAGTACGAAATCCTATAAATACGATACTACTAAAAATCGGAATCTGATTATAAATAATTATAAATCACAAAAAATGAAGATGATCAAGAATTGAGGCACTAAAAATTAATCCGTTAACAGTCTTAGGGTTTTGACAAATCCAGCCGTCAATCACGGTTGATGGCTGGAGTCCCATCCTTAATGATGAGGGCCTCAGCTATCGCGAGTCGGTTGGTGTCGGGGCATCGCATGACGACGCTGGTGCACTCCTCCAGCACCACGCGAGTGATGGTCTCTTTGTGAGCTTCAATTAGGTGGTTTCTTTGTTCACCAGACTGAAGGTGGCACGTGAGACGTCGGGTTAAAATCGTAGTTGTGAGCCCAATTTGGTCCACCACACTGGTATCTTGTAAAACTCCCGTTTTTTGCAAGTGTTAATGTTCATTACGAGATTCTGTATTTTCTGGTTTTATAGTAGATCAGTAGTTTGATTATATTATTAGTTACGCTTACAATGTTGTTGTGATAGATGGATTGAAGGATCTATTTATTTGATTTATAACCGCTGGTCATTTGATTCTTGTAGTATTTTCGTTTGTCCCCGGTTCGTTCTTGAGTCTGTTTTGGTTCAATCAAAGTTTTGAGATTTCTGCGTCAATGATTCTACTGGCAAACTCATTATTGACTAAGATTATTTTGAAATTTCTCAGCTCCGTATACAAGTTATTTTCAGATGATCAGGTTTTGAGAGCTTGTTGGATGAGAGCAGGTATTGCGCTTCCATTCGGCATTTGTTGGCGGCGTTCAGGACTCTCCCGAAAATATGTTATGGTATACTTTTGTAATGAACCAATTAATTATTTTTAGCTTTGATGAATATATCTAAAAAGGCAAAGTGCGATTTGGTCTAAGTTTATGAGTAAACTTTGAGTTAAAATTCATTTCAAAGGCCATACAGAGATTCCTCCTCAGTTGTTCTTCATCTCGAGCGACAACAAAGATATCATCGACATACCTGCAGTACAATTCGCGCTCGATCTGTTTATCTGGAAGTATGCAATATTCAATTTTGCAAATATAGTACTCAGCAAATGTAGGACCATGGGGACTGCCCAATGACTGCCCATGGCTATACCATTGGTTTGCCAGTAAATTTTGTTGTTTGGAGTCCGAAAAGGTGATTCAGAGGAGCAGAGTTAAAGGAGATGGAGGAGAATTTATTTTTCTTAGGTATTGGTGGAGCCGGCATACTTGAATGATAATATATGTGCTTGGCAATGATTTCTAATGTTTCTTCAGTTGGCATTTTGGTGAAGATTCTGGTGAAGTCAAGTGACGCAAGAAGGCCAGATGGACCTCCAAGGGGCGCGAGAAGGCCCAGATGGGGCGCGAAGGACCTCCAAGTCACTCCTGTCCAGTTGTCTCTAGATTTTACAGAAAATTACTTTGGAATACATGGCTTTATTATGGTATCCAGTTCTTTGGCTGTTTTGTAGATTGGAGACGTAACGTGAGAAATAATGGGTCTGAGCAGATCGTCTTCCTTGCGATTTTAAACGTTTACCTCAGGGTACATAACTGGGAGAGTAACTTCAGACAATAGGTGTGAGCTTTCTAAACCCTACAATGGAGTTGACCATACTTGTCCGTTTGTTAGCTTTCCTGTGCAGTTTTTCTGCTGGGTCTTATGTTATGCGGCAGAATTTAGAGTCATCGGGAAGAATGTTGCTGATCTTGATTGATATTCAGTTTCATTCAAATTAACAAACACATTACTTTTGTCAGCTGTACGTACCACATTACACCGTATTACAATTTGATTGTTACCACTTACCACCAAGAGTTTCAAAGTCTGGCCTAGAGCTCGTGTTTGAATTGAAGACATAGATCTTCCTTGTTGTTTCATTGCTTCAGCTCTTAGTTCTAATAAAGCATTTTTTCAGCAAAGAAAGAATTTTTTCAAGCAAGTGAAAAACGTGTGAAAACTAGCCAAAATGTTTGCTCTTTGCACAAAAAAATTTCTTATTAAGTAAAATAAAAAATTAAATCAGTACTCACTGCAGCAAGTGACAGAGAGCACCTTTTCTCACGTCCGTCCGTCACGGACGGACGTACATGATGAGCAAATTAGAGCCTTTTTTCCATAAATGAGAAAATGGGCTAAAAACATGACCAGTCAAATAATAAGCAGGTTATTAATTCTAAATATAAGTTGATGACTTAGATTTAAAGTATTGCCACAAAGTTGTGTGAAAATATATCACTACAGAAGGAGGAGCATGGAGGTAAAAATACCGATCAAGTACATGAATTACATTGAAACTAAATAGCTGAGTAATTTGTACAAAAAGAGTTAGCAATGGTGCAAAATACCAGCCTATTTTTCAATCAATAACAATGCAATTACCTGTTATTATGCAGTGATCTTTCTATGAGCTTGACTGAAGAATTGGCATCATTCTGTAAGTGAATGTGAAGTCGTGTGAGCTGAACATAAGATTGGAATAGGAAACTCCAACGCTTTGGGTCTTCATACAGCTTACCAAGCAAATTGTAGCCTCCAACATCAGTCCACTTGCCCAGTGGTTCCTGGAAATTCAATAAATGAGTTATTTTTCCAACAATTAACATGAGAAATGGTGGTCAAGCTACTCCTTTCAGTATAGTTGAACAGTGGGTATTACAGTATTTGATTATTAAGATAAAAAACATTAAAATTATAATTTAATTTCTTTGGCTTTAGATATAAGGATGAAATTTATTTATGACTCATATAGGTATTGATTTTTGACTTGGAAAATGTTGTTCATAGTAATAAAATAGAAAATGACTTAAATTTACATCTTTTTTTTGCTATAAGTGTACAATGCTTGCACCCATGTTTGTATCAAGTTTCCAGCAACCAAAGTAAGTAACTAGGGTTAAATGAACAGAAATATCATCAAACTAATATCCATGGTTCTTCTCAAAGCCTCAGCAACAATGACAAAGCAATTTATTTTTGCAAATTCATTTACAGATACAAGTTTGCAGCATTCCAAAAGCAACAGAATTAGATTCAATATCAACTGCTACATTATGATGGATTGTTATTGGAAATCAACTTACCTGGTAGGTAGCAACATTGGGCAGAGCAGCAAAATGCTTCAAAAATGTTGATTTCCCACTTCCAATATTGCCTTCAATGGACACGGTAAATGGCCGGGAAAATGAATTTTCCTTTGCTTCCTGCAATTAGAAACAAGTGAGTAAAGACTACTATTGGAAATGAAATTTTCAGGATGAAAGGACTGAAAATTACTGCTAGAAAATTATAATATGATAGAACAATTAAAGTCTAATTGGCAATAATTTATGTAATCATTGCAACCACATAATCACAAACAATGATATATCTGGGAAGTTGTCATCTACCATACATTTTCTTGCTATTAATATCAATGAAGGATACTGGTAATAACCATCAGAGGGACAAAATTAGCAAAAGAATGTTTTTATCAATATATATGAAAATTGGCTCACCTGGTCTAATGCTTGTATCTTTGTTGGATGGAATTCCAACCTCTTTCCATATCTAGGTTCAAAAACTTTTGGAGATGCATGAATTTTCTCAAAGTTCTCATGATTTCTTTTCTCATTAACATGAAGATCTTCATCCAAAGTTTGACCAAGCATAGAAGATGTGGACAATTCATGGTTATTTCCAGCTGTATTGTAGGTTGACATAATCATTGATTGACCTTTATGATTAGAAGACTTTAAAGCATCAGGAGCAACAGCAGGCTGTGATAAATTTTCTTTCTCATGCTTAGTTTCAGAAGTCATTTTTGCTGGAGTTAAGGTTTTGGAACAGAGATGACGTTGAATTGAATACAGAAATGCAGTTCTCTTCATCAGCAGGGAAGAAAACAGAGCCAATTAGTGACTAATAATATTTTAATTTTTGTAAGCCTGTACTACCTATATTTAAATGGTTACTTTTTACCTTGTTTCACAGAGGAGATAGTAGCTGGAGAATGTGATCAAATTGAATTAATAAGTACTTCAGATGAACTTTATTATAAATTTTATAACTTTAACTTGAAGATGCAAAGAGAAAATGACCCCAACACAGAAATCTTATGTAATTCAGTGGCTTACTCCAGGCATGGAATATATCTACTTGGTGAGCTCACTGAGCTGCAACAGGATTTTTCATGCCATGGTTTTATGGATTTGACAGCCGTGATTCCATTTCTTTGGGCTGCGAATTCCCTATCTTGGCCATCATCAGCCATGAGGAGCCATCTTATTTACAAAGTCCTGTGCATGTGTTTTCCCAAATATCTAATTTTACCCTAAAAACAGTCAAACAGCAACAATAAAATTTGTCTTTACTTTAGTGAGTAGTGACAACTGAACATGTGATAATGCAGTCTGACTGCACTGATGTGACTGCAACTAGGCTATCTTCAACAAAATGTTTTGGGTTGACTTGTTATCATTACGTTCTGCAAGAGATTTTAGTAGGAGCTTTGCATTACTGCAGATTGTGGAAGTTGAAAATTTTATAAAATGACATTTTGCAAAGTGCAAACCTCAATATTTCATACCTACTGCTACTAAAATTATATATTAGAGCTGTGATATTTCAGAAAAAGTAAGACTTTTCCCAACCTGGCTTACTCCATTTGATGCTATGACATAGGATAGGCATTGAATATATCTACCATTCAAGCCACATTAGATCTTGCCCAATGCCCACCATCTAGCATCTACCAGAACACTAAACAAAATTCCTGCTAGATATATTTAGGAAAATTAGGCATTTAGTAAATAAGACAAAAAGGCCCATGCTTCTGGTCAATTCTACCAGTAACCAGTTTTATAGCATTTGCCAAATATATTTCATATGAATAAGAAAATTGACACATTTTTGCCTGTAACTCTTAAGAAAATGGATTGAAAAGCTTACCATGTTACACCTTCCATTATTCTGGCCGAATCTGGCACGCAATAGTATGACGTCAGTCACGTCACTATTTCAAGTTTTCAACCATCTACGCATGCACCATGGTCAGGAAGGTGCAGCGTGTACGCCGGAGGTTCGTTTTCGGATGTACGCCAGTACGCCAGGAAAGAAAGTTGCCAATATGCTTGTAGATCTCGATTTGAAATTATGAATTTATGATCAAATTTAGATGTCAGCAATGTATAAAATACTATGCATGTAATTGATGGCCAAAATACTTATATAACTTTCTGAATGGGTAACTAATGTATTCATATCGTGTTTGTGACTGCGTTGTTGGCACGAGGCTTACATTAATGCACCCCGGTGTTGCACACTTGCGTAAAGTTGGAGTAAACATACCAGAAATCATTGACAGAATAAATAATTTAAAAAGTTTCAATATGAAAAAAATGGTAAAATTATTTTGTTTGCTACAAATCTTATGGTCCATTGTCGCGACGCCGGTAGATTTACCAGTTTTGTGACGTACCGTAGCTGCTTAATCACGGGTCCAAGGACAGCAGAGGGTTCAAAAGACGAATCTGATTTAATCATTTACTATCCTCTTGCCATGATTAAATCGTTTTTCTTGACGACTCATTAAGATGCGGTCGATGAAGCTCTACTAAAACAATGCAGTACGTACTCGACAACAGTACTCGACTAAATTGCTATACGATACCAGTAAAACGTGGTAAAGGGAACAGTGAAAATTCCATGGATGCCAAACATGCACATTATTTAGATTACCTAATTAAAAGCATGGAACTAATCGAAAATCAAAATTCCTTTTCAGCATTAGGCTTCTCTTTCTGTACTTATCTATTTTTATGATGTTTTTACTCGGCGCGTATTCAAATTTCTTATTCATGACAGTCAGATGTTACTGACAATTCTTTTCCAGCGCGCACGTAGCAATCTTTCAACGAAAATTCGGTGCGCCAGTCTATAAAAATAAATGATAAAACAATATGAGCAATTCATTCATACTCCTTCTAAATTACTATAAACTGGATTACAGCTAAAAGGATTTCTTCAGCTGCCTTCATTCGGGGTGTTGCTACGTGTGAGATCTGCCGAAGATCTGATGCTTTTTATGACCAGGTCTCGTAATACATATAAATTCGCGGGCGAAAAATCCTTTTTATATTGATACGGGCTAGTGCATGGAAGATAAGTCGGTCAGAAAACGACGACTGGGTCCCGATCCCAACACTAACCATCTTGTACGATAGGTTGCAGATACCGGGTTCCAGATAGCGGAAGTTTTGACCTAGAAAAGCTCTGAAACAGGTTCTTCGCCACAAACTCTCACCGTGGCACGAGGAGCCAGTGACCAATAAATTATATTTAGGGACATTTGCCATCTCGTATTTATTATTGATTCAATAGAACAAAGTGGCACTGAAAGAAACAATAGCAAAATAATATAAGGTCCTAAAAACCCTAATTGAGCTCTCAAGTTTTTCTAGTTTACGAAACCGAGAGGAAGTAAAAAAGTTTTTGTTGTTGCAAAAGTTTCTCCGTACAGTGCATATATTTAGTACATATTTGGGAGCAGCCATTGTGACGTTAGGGTAACAAATTTTTTTTACCAGCCATAGCACCAAGCAAGATAACAAAAATTTATATATGTAGTAATAAAAAATGGACATTAGTCGGTTAAAATTGCATGGTATTAAGAGTTTTCATTCAATCTTCTATTGAAAACGTGTTGTTCAATGTTGAATATCGATTTTGTTGAAACGATGGAAAATAATAATGCATAATTTAAAATGAAAGCAAATGATTCAAGAATTGTGCTGAAAATAGCGCACTTGAAATAAAAAATTAACTCAGTACTCACTGCAGTGAGTGACAGAGAACGCATTTTCTCGTCGACGAAAACTTGAGGTCACGGACGGACGGACAGACGAACAGACAGACAGACGAACAGACAGACAGACAGACAGACGGACATGGCGAGCACAATAGTGCATTTTTTCCATAAATGAGAAAATGCGCTTAAAATTACCGATAACATTATCCGATAAAAGTGGGAAGGTTCACATGGGAAATGACTGGTCACGGACGGACGGACAGACAGACAGACGAACAGACAGACAGACAGACAGACGGACATGGCGAGCACAATAGTGCATTTTTTCCCATAAATGAGAAAATGCGCTAAAAATTACCGATAACATTATCCGATAAAAGTGGGAAGGTTCACATTAATACGCCTGGAAACGTGCAACAAATTTTTGATTATTGTATTGTTACCAGTAGCTGAGCTTCCCTAAAAGTTTCAGAGCGCTAGCTAGCGGGAAAGTTGGTGAAATATCGATTGCAAGATTTGATCATCACAGACAGAGGGACACGAAAGCGAGCTAAGAAAAACGTGGTAATAAAAAATTGGTAAGGTTCATATGGGAAACGACTGCCATCACAAGACCGGAGTAGAAAAGGTCAGCCTGGGAGCAGCATCACGTAAATCCCAGGGATGTTCGCACCTCTAACTCATGGTTGAATTAATACATTTATTAATTATTTATTTTATTTATTAAATTAAATATATGTATTAATTCAACCATGCCTCTAACTCGGCTGTCTGCGAGCTCATTGGCGAATCTTTATCTGGCTTCTTTTTCTTTTATAAATTCGTCTTTCAGTTCGGTTCTTCACTTGATTAAAATATAGGTTAAGGGATATTGCGGTCAGAATATTCATGAAATGCACTATTTTTACAACACTTATCTTTTAGTTCACTTCTTGTTTGTCTGTCTGTCTGCTACAAATCTTATAATCGAAATTTAACACACTTCTACTTATCCTATCGATATGAAATTTTTCTCACTTGCGTAAAGTTGGAGATAATGCAAGAATCAAATAACAAAATAAATGATTCTAAAAATTAAAATCTTTTATCAATATTAAAAAAATAGAAAAAATAATTTTGTCAGCTACAAATCTTATAACTGTTATTTGACACACTTTTACCTGTCCAATTGATCTGAAATTTTGCGTACTTGTGTGAATTCGGAGGCAATGCATGAATCAATCGACAGAATAAATAATTTTGAAAAAAATTTATATATTAACAAAATTTGAAAAATTAATTTTTTTAATATTCAAAAATAAAACGAGAAATTCATTGTACATCTTTACCATTGGAGACACTGGATTCTTTAGAAGTGTTGTGTTTAAAAAGTAGTTTTTAAATGTACATTATTTATTGCTTGATTATAGTATAACTGCTACGGATTATCTTCATGTGCTTAAGGCTCTTGACAAAATACACGTGCATTTGTAAGGCGGGGAAACCAGGTTCATTGGGTTAATTTGATTTCATTTACTGTAATTTAGTTGACTTAATTTAGTGTAATCCCGAACAGGCGTATGCAAGAATTCAAACAAAACAAATACGATTTTGAGATTAAAATAATATTTAATACTGATTTAGGAAGAGTTAGAATATAGTTTAGTATAAGCAAATTGCCAATACAATATTTTTCCCCACCCCTTTTAGCAATTTCACCTTTTTAATATGATCAAAGTGCAGGTATGGGTTAATTCGATTTCATCAATGTAATATAACATTATGAACATAAAATGCTTCAATATTAAATGACTTGGCAGTGGGAGAAACTCTTGCCTCTATACAAGGTTAAGTTATTAGATATACTGTATATCTCAATTAACTTACTCATTCTGGAACACGCTTACTTCTAAGTAATTCAGGCCTTACAGAAGATTGAGGAACTAAGTAGGCTAGCCGACTTCATCCAACAGTAATGACTGTCCCAACCCATTAGTTTAGAGATTATATGTTAAGGATTCATCTAACAAAAGTTCAATGTATTTATTTGTTATCGATGTAAACCAGATATCAGTTCTACACGAGGATTATGAAGCTTATGAATTGCAAATAGAGGACCATTTCACCGTTCCAATCCTTTAATATCTTAGCTTGGCGGACAACTGATCGTTGATGCTAATTCAGTGATAGCTATTCTGCACTTGTGTGCTTTGAAAGTTATTTCCTCTTACTCGCAACCTTTCATGAATATGTTAAGATAAGAGACGAAACATAACCGGCGTTCTGTTACAGCATTGAATACTGATTCATTTTTACGTCTTTTGAAATTTTTTGACACACAAGTGAAAATTCGGTGGGACTGACAATTTTGAAGCACAAATCATTTTAATGACACATCAGCATATAATTTCAGATAATACATCTAGCCGCTTCGCGCTCTAAATGCGCAAAATTAATTAGAATTTTGAAATTATTTGGCATACGTACCAGGATCTTGCGAGCTAGGAAATGATATTTTCAATCATGTTTTTTATGTTTTCGAAGTTGATTAAAAAAATATCCGAACCAAAGAGATGATTTAATGTTGAAAGGAGGACAAAACCCAATGCAATAGAATTTAAAGTAGTTTCACGTCAACTCGTGTTTCATATAAATGTCAAGGAATTCATCTCGTTTACATACATGCTGCGTTGGTGCCATGTGTGTTCATAACATACCTAGTATTCATAACTTGCCTAGGGTATTCATAACATGCTTCTTGTATACATAGCATAGGAAGAAAAGAATGCATGACCGCACGCCATGCTTATTGTCTCACGTATGCTTGGTTCCCAAAATACCAGGAACCAGGAATGCACATGGCTTCTAATACGTAAAACAGAGAGAAAGAGAAGCATTAATCCATGGAAATCCTATATAATAACAAAATATTTCAGGTGATGAATAATTGAAATTTACGCAATCCAATATTTGCACCTTACATTACCTGAGAGTAATTTGTTATATAGTGATTTTACGCAATCGTGACAAATTGCAATGTTTTCGTTCAACAAGATTTCCATTAAAATAAATCAGCTGAGTTTGTGAAAATGAGATTGCATGGTATTAAAAATAGCGGAGATTCAATTTGTGGTTGGAAATGTTAAAATGTCCCGATGTTTAATTAAAACATAACAAATACGGCTTGTTTTCTTTATGGCCTCATTGAAAATACAGGAAACTGAAATTTCGCATAGTTAAAAAAAGTTTTTTTTGGCTCTGTCGTTCAATTTATTCCTAGTGTAATGATACCTTTTCAAACATGGAAGTTTTCCAATTCACAGAAGTAATGTATATTTCAATTCATTTTCATTTTAATGTTTTGGGCACACGAAAGCTGTTCATTCCGAACTGACTTGACCGTAACCGTAAATATGTCCACGTCTCGGACAAATTTACGGCCGGACTTGCGGGCGTTTTAAAATGTGAAGATCTACGAGTATCTGATAAATTCAATTTACAATCTTTATACATGAAACAAAAACGTTTATTTTATGGCGTCAGTATTCTTGAGAAACTGAACATCACAGGTAATTTTTTTATAATCTATTGCAGAACAGTGAAAAATTGGGAACTTCTGTTACGGTCGTCATTGCCTTTACTCCAATTCAGCTGCACAGCTCGATCATGCGTTATCGGAGTGCACGCGTCTGGCTCTAATCACTTAATATTAATTAATCATTCCTTATAGGTTGCCCTATTTTGATCTGGCGTTGTTGAACTTGGTTTACCCCTACCACCTACCCATTAATACTACATTAACACCTACGCCTGAAATTAGCCTGAAATTAGCTCCCCGAACTTTTTAGCGCATCTTCTCATTGATGGAAAAAAGGCGCTAATGTGCTCGCCATGTCCGTCTGTCTGTCTGTCCGTCCGAGACTTCACGCTTTCGTCGATGAGAAAATGCGCTCTCTGTCACTCACGGCAGTGAGTACTGAGTTATATTTTTTTAATGAAATACCCCTCATGGCATGGAAATGTTGACCTTACCAGTTCAGCCGTTTGGTGCAGTTGAGATCGTCTAAATATATATAAATATATGTTTGAAATAAAAGTGACGTAGAAAATAAATTTATAAAGCATAGTTAAAAGTAGGGTAAAATTTAAAGGGTAATACAAGAGAGGGTAATCCGTTTGCAGAGAGGGTAATCCAAGAAAGGGTAATCCCTGTTAACTTGGTTTGAGATGTTAGCAAAGCAGGCAAAATAATTTTTTCCGAGTGGATATTTGCAGAGTTGGAACTCTGACAAGCGTGCAAATGGTTCAAATTATCAGATTTCTCAATGCGTTTGGCATTGCAAATATTTTACACGTTAAAAATGTTTACACCGATTATTATGATATATATTTCCGAACACTAAAAAGTCATTCACAAGCTTAAATATACATAATATTTGTAAAGCATTTCATGGGTTTGAGGTTCCCAACATTTTACAATAGGAAGCGATATTAATTTGCCATAAGAGACGAGAAATTATTAGAAAATAAAAAATCGACGATACAAAGAGTGCAGATCACCTCATTTTCTTCGACATGGTTCGCTGATATTTGAAGTAGTTAGATTTCGAAAGCTCCTGCAACATAAATCTTTCTTATTACAGCACTAATAAATTTATATCGTCCACTTAACTTGCTCTTCATTATACGGGATCAAACGGGAATTAGAGAGTGAGGAAAAACTCGGCGCCGATTGTGCCTGGGGTGGCTGCTGCTCAGACGGCCACTGCTGCAGCTAAACATGGGTGCGAAAAATTTCTTTAACTATTTTAAATGGTGGTCGAATATGGTAAAAGTGATGATTGTTAGTCTTAATGAAGGAAAATAACCAATTCCAATGTCAAATTGTTGGAGTTTTCCCTAAATTACGCAGATATGCCAGGAATAAATATGAATGATATGTTATAATTATAATATGTTATAAAATATAATTTTCGCAAGCGTCCGCCTGGTCGTTGAAGAGCTCGAGTCGTAGGTGGTTTAACGATGAACATGTAATGTGTCTTTGCTTTCAGCATTTTGGGATTTTCATTCGTTTGAAAGTTCCGTGAGAAATGTTGATCGTTTGATGTTTTCTTCAAGTGTATTATTATTACATTATTTCATGGGAGACAGCAGAAACTATTCATGCATTTACCGAGGCATTCGCCGAGCCTTAAATATGAACCAAATTCTGATGTCATGCTTCAACTTGGTGCCAACAACGCCATTTGTTCATATGAAATTTTAATGCAATCTATATGAACTCAGCGTGGTGCGAACAGTGACAATTGTTACCAGCAGAAATGACGAGCTATTCTTCATGTCTAACGATTCTACTTATTAATTTCCACTCTGAGACTTTCTTTTCCCGAAATTTTCTTCTCGTCCGTTGACCAGTCGGTCCATCTTTCTCTTGTTTGGTCAACAACTAGAAATCATTTGACCGCCACAGTTGATGATGGTGCTAAATCTTGCCACGGCATCGCTGATTGTAAAGCTACCTGGTTTGTGATGCGGTACTTTTCGGACACTGGCGATCGACGTGAAGAACAGCATGCGGGAGGAGATATTGTACCCATGCGTTCTGATGTTTTAGCAACAAGGCTTTGCATCAATGCAAGCACGCAGCTGGTAGGAAAACAAACTTTTTTAGGAATACAAGCCGAACGGCATAAATACGGGACTTTTCCAAGTATCGACTATCAGTCCTATTGAATTTTTCAAGGCAGCTGTCACGCATCACCCGCAAATCGCAACGGCATCAACATGCGCAGCTTCGTTCTTCGTTTGGCATTGCTTCTTGTCGGTACGGTTACTAGTCTGAGTCTGCCTGCAGCTTTCCCATTTTCCAATCTTCCATAATTCGTTAAATGGTTACTTGAGTCACGTTCTTGTTTTGCACAGGTGACAAATGTATAAAATTTATAACCACATTACTTACTTTTTTTTGGCTTTCTCCTAATAAGTAAGAAATGAATAGTTGAAATATGTATAATTTTGCCTTAAAATATTTTGCGTTTTTTTTTCACGCTTCGAGAGTTAAAAACTAAATTTGAATATTTACATTCTGTTGCGTTGTTACCGTTTATTCATGTCCTTTGGAGCTCGAATAAGTCCCAATAACTCTATTGTTTCGATATAATAATGAACACACGTTTAATATTTTTTTCATCAATTGCAACTGTCAATAAAAATTAATTCTTAGCTGGAAACATTGACTTAACAAACGTGGCTGAATATATCTGCGTATAACTCACTTATGACCATCATTAAATAATGCACAATGTGTTATTGGAAAAGTTGCAGTTTAATAACTCCCATGGAAAGTTGCGGTCCATTACGATGATTTTTCGATAAAATATTTATTCAATTCAATATGACGCAAAAAGTCTTGGCTGTATTAAAAGTTCTAGGCATGTACTCGTCCAATCAAGCATAAATTGCGACTTTCGTGATGCAAAGAAAAATGAAATGAATACCTGAACTCTCGTGCAGTGGTGGCCGTGTTGACATCGGCTCGACGGGACCATGGCAGCTACGACTACGACGTTGCTGAAGGGACCAAACCTGTGAGGGGTAGAGCTCAGACCAGGCCTAACCAATGGGGATCTCCTCAGCATACTCATGCAAGAACTGGACGTCGTTTCAGTAACCTAAATGCTACTGAAGAAGAGCCTGAACCTGAACCTCACCCAACGCTGCAAGGAGATGCCGGAGAAGTTCCAGAACCCGAACGTCCTCGTGGTCGGTTCAGGCCTAAGCATTCGGGGAATAGGAATCCTCCAGGAACTGTTAGGAGCCCAAACCCTCCACGTTCTAGGGCTTCACAAATAACTTACGAATAATATGAAACTATGCCTGCTTCATCACATATGATTAACACACTGAACGTGTCTTTTGAGACGTTAATTACGAATTTTTTTTATAAATATCATCCGGCGGTCGTTGTCCCGCGTAAAAACAGCTCCAGCAACGAAGCCACGCAATACAGCGTAAATCTTTTAGGTTAAACCAAACTAGATACAACGAATTATCATAATCAAAAGCTGATACTAATAATTCAATGTCAAGAATACTGTGTTTAGTTCATTTATAACAAAATATTGTCGAAATGTTTGATCTAACCGAAATATGACGAATAGAAACTTTTTTTGAATCTGAAACAATAAACTGAGTTTCGCTTCTAGATTGGAAGGTTCACATAATTATGCCTGAAACACCAAATATCGTTTTAGTTATTTTCCTCCTCCCGTTTATGTTTTTCGGTTCTTGTTTATTCAGATTAATTGATTATATTTATATGGTAATCAATATTTTTGTTTTATTACATCCCTTCATTACTTCATTGATATTTGACCTGGATAATTTCTACTTTTGTTTGAAGTTCAGGGAATAGCCTTCTTCATAGATAAGTTTATGTCTATGGTTTGCAGAGCGATCACGTTTATGTTTAGGCTCGCTATTCGAGCAGTGATCAAGATTATGTTCACGGTTTGCCTAGTGATGAAGTTTATGTTATTAATTTTCGAAATGATAAAGTTCATGTTCACGGTTTGCCATTAATGAAGTTCATTTTATTAACTTGCGTATTGATGACGTTCAGGTTCACGGTTTGTGCAGTGCTGGAGTTCATGTTATCAGTTCGCACATTGATGAAATTCGTGTTATCAGTTTGCAGATTGATGAAATGATGTTATCAGTTCGCACATTGATGAAATTCGTGTTATCAGTTTGCAGATTGATGAAATGATGTTATCAGTTTGCACATTAATGAAATTCATGTTATCAGTTCACACATTGATGAAATTCATGTTATCAATTTGCGAAATGATTTAGTTCAATAACACCGGCCGTCTGCGCAGTCTGGAATTCGAGTTTTCTATCTGTTATCAATCGCGATTTAAATGCAATGTCAAGCATAAAAGAGAACATCTGCTGATATCAAATCAAGGCCTAAAAACCTCGAATTCACCCACAGTATTCGAGCGAAATGTTGCCTAACATAAGCAAAAATACATGTTGAAACAGTCACCTTTCTCGTATGTTGAAACAGTCACTATTCTCAACCCCGAAACACGATTCCGAAGTATAGTTTGATGCAGCCATTAAATAGATGTAAATAAATTTCGTCAGAATTAATTAACTTAATTTCGTCTGAAGCAAAAAATTCAAGCATAAAGGAAATAAATTTCCCAGATTCAGCATAGGAGTTCCTTCAACGCCCAACATGCAAGTTAGTTGCTCAGTACCATAGATTTTAAGACTTGCATATCCGTTCCTGAAAGCATGCAAAAACTTTGACTATTCATTATCATAAGAAAATATTTATTTCTCAGGAGTAAAACTTGGATTGGGTGACAAGTTGAATCATTTTCATGGACGATAACAGTCTTGGGAAATAATAAGAGTTCTTCACGTGCTTCTTCAAGTAAAATATTTTATTCAAATTTAAATGAATTTAAATAAGATTAAAATCAATGAGACTAATTTTAAAATTTTCTCAACTCTCACCAAAAATTTAGGTCAATGATCTGAAGGATTCCATGATAAAATCGAGTATTGTACAGTAAACCGAGCTATTCATTTATTCAGAATCATATTTTAGCAACCCACGTAACCCTGCACACACTCAACGATCTTCCAACGCCGCACTCATGGCTTCAGCGGTGCTGTGCTTACTGCACCTGTAACTGCTCACTGCTGCAGTAACTGCTCACTGCAGCAGTAACTGCTCACTGCAGCAGTAACTGCTCACTGCAGCAGTAACTGCTCACAGCACCAGTAATTGCTCACTGCAGCAGTAACTGCTCACTGCAGCAGTAACTGCTCACTGCAGCAGTAACTGCTCACAGCACCAGTAACTGCTCACTGCAACAGTAACTGCTCACTGCAGCAGTAACTGCACACTGCAGCAGTAACTGCATACAGGACACACAGGGCAGGGGCATGGAGGTGCAGGGTAAGGTGTCCGGATTGTGTTTACGATGTTGACTCGGGCCCGGCGGGAAGGTGACCCCTGGCAGTGTTGGCGCCCGACGCAAACCCTGGCGGATAAATGATCGGGTTTGATAGATTGATTCTACCTGTAATTCGGCCCATACTGATAAGGGTTTGAAATTTCATAATTAAATGATCATGTACGGTAAATTGATCATACCTGCGAGTCAACAACTACAAAAAAAGTTTATATTTCGGAATTAAATGATCAGGTACGGCAAACTGGTTCTACCTGCAATTCAACAACTACAAAAAAGTTTTATATTTCGGAATTAAATGATTTGGTGTAGCAAATTGATTATACCTGCTATTCAACAACTACAATAAGGGGTTTAAAAATTCAGAATTAAATTATTCAGTTTGTTAAACTGATCGTGGCGACTTCAACAAGGGATTTGTAAATTCGAAATTAAATTGTATGGTTTGGCATATTGATTACAGTCGTAAATTCACTGCCACGAAAGTTTTTTGGATATTCATAAATAAATTTGCATTTATTAGCAGCGGTTGAGCTGAATGGAAAATCATAGTCGAAGTTCGACTTGATTCAATGATTTATTTATTTTTTTTACGATAAATTTTTTTATATACTGCACTAATAGTTTCCAACTCAATGAGCTGTCTTAACAAATTTATCAATTAAATATTATTTATTAAGATTTATTTCTCAAGTGTTTCGGTTAACTTAACAAATATCTTGCTTTTTATTCTAAAAAATTATGCTTCAATGATTTTTCTTACATTGAATGGGATTTATTATTGGGAGTGGCGTTTATAGGAATGAGTGACGTTATAGACTCTTCGAGCGAATTTTTATTCCTTTAATTGAAAAACTTATTTTTCATTATTTCTTATTTCGTCTTTGCATTGTTTTAATTGCTTTATAAATTGCATCCATAATGTATCGAATTTGCACATGGAAATTTTGAAATATTTCTGATAATATATTAGTTAATGTTTTATTATACCTAATACTATCAGAAATTGTCCATCACAGGTTGAAGTGCAATCATAATACATACAGAAAATTCAATAATTGTATTTTAATGCTCAGGTCGAGCGTTCTGGCGACGAGCGACGAAAGCTCGACAAGCGGCAAGCGAGATGCCGGCCGGCGACACTCGGGACGGACGATTGCAGTGATTGTTTCTTGGTCCGCAATCAGTACGATAGTCGCTTGACTCGCAATCAGTGCGATTGTCTCTTGACTCATAATCAGTACAATTGTCTCTTGACTCACAATCAGAACAATTCTCTCTTAACTCACAATCAGTACGATTGCCGCTTGACTCTCAATCAGTGAGATTGTCTCTTTACTCATAATCAATACAATTGTCTCTTGATTCGCAATCAGTACAATTCTCTCTTGACTCACAATCAGTACGATTGTCGCTTGGCTCGCAATCAGTACAGTTGTCTATCGACTCGCAATCAGTACAATTGTCTCTTGACTCGCAATCAGTAAGATTGTTTCTTGACTCACAATCAGTAAGATTGTCTCTTGACCCACAATCAGTACGATTGCCTCTTGACTCGCAATCAGTACAATTATTGTCTCTTGACTCGCAGTCAGTAAGATTGTCTCTTGACTCACAATCAGTAAGATTGTCTCTCGACTCGCAATCAGTAAGATTATCTCTCGACTCGCAATCAGTAAGATTATCTCTTGACTCACAATCAGTACGATTGTTTCTTGATCCGCAATCAGTACGATTGTCTCTTGACTCGCAATCAGTACAATTGTCTCTTGACTCGCAATCAGCACAATTGTCTCATGACTCGCAATCAGTACGATTGTCTGTCGACTCACAATCAGTACAATTGTCTCTTGACTCACAATCAGTACGATTGTTGCTTGATTAGCAATCAGTAAGATTGTCTCGCAATACAATCGTCTTGACTTTTCTGCATGAATGCTGGACTACATTTTGCGAGAACAATTATGGTATATTCATTATGGGATACTTTCTGGTATTCTGGAATGGTATATTAGTATACTGATACTTATGGTATACTTAAAAATAATTGGTAATTATTTGAAGTAATGAGGTGTGTATTGGACTCGTTATCAAGGGCTTTAAGTAACTCGTTTTTTCCGCTCGATTGTGATCTAAAGTTGATGAGAAAGTGTGGTAAAAATACTGAGAGTAGATTATATTATGTGCTATTATACAACTTATTTTAAATTGTCTACTTGCAAATACTAAAGAGCCAATGAACCCGATTTGAAAATGAGACAAAATTCACCATTATCTGTAACCATTACGTACATTAAGTACCATTAAGTAAAAAAATAAAACTCAATGAATGTCTGTCTTCACGAGCTCAAATCAAAGGAAAATTTAAGCCAATAACATTCAATTTTGCTCTTGTTCATCTTTCCTTTCAGTTTCTACCGCTTAATTGCAAGCAAGTTAGCAACATTCACTGGATGATTATGGCTGGTTAGATGTTAGTCATCAGCGGTTTTCTTCCTGATTGGTGACATGATTAACGCGTGGTGTTTTTTTCGATATTTCACGTATCACTGGTAGAGTCTATCCTCGAAGTAGCGTTGAATCGTGATACATACGTTGCTCCCTACTTCGCTGGGAGAGTTTTCTTCAATTTCATAGCTTTATGTGCAATAGCACAAATTTTTAAAGATCTCTTGAATGGTGTAGACATGGAGCGAAAGAAAACTTCGAATAATATATGAATATATTTTATTAATCAACCTGTGCATACTTATGCATCTTTATCGTAACCGGATACATCAACTCAATAACCAAATCCTGATGTTCGGTGCAATAAAATTGAATGTTTGCTCAAAAATTTTCGTTATGTTTAATTATGAATTAGTTTTTCCTTAACGGAGATTAGAAATTTGTGGCCTGTAAAGATTTTTGACAATACTGAAGCAAGAATTTAGGCTCACGTTGGAGAAAAACGAGTCAGGAATATTAATTTTAGTCATGAGGTACGTTATCAAGTGTCAGTCAGGACTTTAGCGGTCCATCCTGGATATTATCCTTCAGGTTGAGGCTCAACCTGAGGGGCGTTGGGGTCTGGGATAACAGCTGGTCTGGAGTCTGAGGGAGGGGTCTGGGGTCTGGGAAGAGGCTTGGTTTCAGCTGGAACGGGTTGAGGTGCCGGCACTGGAAGAGGTTGAGGAGCGGGTTGAACCTGAGGCTTCTGGGGATCAGGGATAACTGCACCCCCTTGTTGGGATGGTCGGGGTAGAGGCTTGGTTTGAATCTCGCCTGGAGGTCGGGGCAGAGGCTTGGTTTCAACCTCACCTGGAGGTCGGGGCAGAGGCTTGGTTTCAACCTCACCTGGAGGTCGGGGCAGAGGCTTGGTTTCAACCTCACCAGGAGGTCGGGGCAGAGGCTTGGTTTCAACCTCACCAGGAGGCCGGGGCAGAGGCTTGGTTTCAACCTCACCGGCAGGGTTGGATACGTCTCCAGCCGACGCAGGCTGAATTCCTGGAGCCACGCCCTCGACTGGACGGCCTGGGGTCAAGCTTTCCAGATTGCGATCTGGAAAACTGGACGCCATCGCGACCACCACTGCACAGGACATCGGGAAATACGATTTATGACTGTTATCCGAGACGTTCAAAGAGGTATTGTGAGTGCAGTGGCTCATGGCAGAGTCAGGTAGCATGTGAAAATATATACGTACAGTGTACATATTTTTATACAGTAAAATATACAGTAAGTAGCAAAGTGGCATACACTTACTTAACTCCATATGAAATAATAAAAATGCGCGATGTTCTGACGCCAACTTCATGCAATAACAAGTGATATTTTATTAGAATTATACTCCTAGTCCATTGATCAGCTCCCGAATGATTGTCGAAGATTTTCTAGGATGAATGCTCCGGCTGGGGCACAATTGGACAGCAGCAATTTTAAATTATATTTCTCCTCCTCGTCTCTTGTGAAATTAAAACCTATTGGCAGCGAAAAAAATTAAATGAACTCGTATTTGAAATTTGTTTAATTTCAAGAAACTTGAATTCATAAAACAGAACGGCAAGTTCACTGAAGAGTGAACCTATTCGTAATGAAACTTTTTGCATATTTTAATTTCGTGTTGCAAGCTTTCAAGTCAATGTCGCTTCATCAAATAGACGGTTGTGATGTTTGAAGGATTTACTCGCACATTGTTTTTAATAACGTCAAAAGACCTAAATTGAAGTTACTAAATGCTGCATCCAACATTCAGTAACAACACAGTACCAAATTACTTTGGTGAAGTCATGACTATGCACAGATAAGTGCTCAATCAATTATTTATTGCAACATTGATAGTGTTTTATTTTTTTTTGCTGCAAAATTTTTGAAAAATGTACCCAGATAATATTTTCACCCCAAGTAATTTGAAAAAATCGGGATGATTTAAACGCATTCTTATCTTTAAAGGAATAAAATTCTAAAATAAGAAAACTGAAATAAAATTAGTTTTTATTTTCTGTACTATAGTCGGATAAACTCGGACGGGGTTCAAAATATTGGACAAAAGAACCAAAATGATAATTTAAACTCACCTACAAGAAGCAATGCACATCTAATAAAGTTGGACATCTTGAGGAAGTTTCGTGGAGATGCTCTTACCAGCTGCCTTGAGAAAGTCCCCAAGACTGATGCACTTCTCAACAAGACCGGTATTTATACAAGCCGGGTGCTTATCCACGAATTAACTCATTATTACTTGTTCACATCGAAAATCCGTTCCTGAAATAAATCCCAACACATCACAGGTAACTTTACTATCACATAAACCCGCGGCACGATTTGATACCTGCATTACTAGTGGCGGTTAAATGATCCGTTTGTCGTAGATCAAACAAGATCAAGGCCCGTAGGCAAACGGGCTACACGAACCTTCTGGAAGAGAAACTCGCTGTTCAGCGGGCGCTAGTGCCAACAATTTGCTTAGCACTTTTAAGGGTAGAATGACTTGCAATTATACCGATGCGCATCACTAGCGCTGTGACGACTGCGGAATTGCATACATTAAGTTAGAATTTTTGTTCTGAAGTGAAATAGTTTACATTCATAACACTATATTCATAAAAAGGGTAATTTCTGGCTTGCTTTCCAATTATATAAGTCAAAATGAAATTAAAGGGTATAAATTCCCGATTGAAGGGTTATAAAATTCAAAAATTAAACATTAATTAAATTTAAGCGAAACAAACCCAATGACCGGCCACTGCTGACTTACGAATGAAATGAAATTTACAGACTTCCGGAGGTTTAACTAAGAATATAATGCCATTTATTTATTTTATTTATAGGTTCTTGTTATGCAATTCAATGCAGCAAGCAAACTTCAGTAACGTTGCAGATTCGAAAGCATTAACCAATATAAATTAGTGTAACATTAAATACTTTAATAAAATTGAAAAGGATTAACAAATCTAAATATGAGTGTAGTAGACGTATGATGACTGTTAATTAAGCAATAATTAACCAATAACCAATTAACCAATATCTGTAGGACGTGAAAATCTAAAATACTCAGTTGATAACCTGATCCTGCAAATGCGGCATTCCTGTAAGAGCCGGGCCACGGGTCACGGATCTCAGTCCCAAAGCCTGAGTGTTGATTTTTAGCGAGAAGTACTGAATGATTCAAAGCTTGTAACGATGAATGAATGAATGCTAGGATAGAATTATTGAATTCAAGCATGCTTATCACGCAATAGCAACTTAGTATGCATGGATGTGCTTCTGAAGTGATATGGGTTCTTCACTGTACAGTTTGCAGTCAACTACCTCGAGGTTACTAAAGAATTTATTACCATATTTCCAGGTCGCATTGTTGTTGATATTCGATATTCATTGATATATTTATTTTGTTGATATTCGAATAATTCAAATGCTACGAACCAAGCCAATGTAAATTTACGAAGCGGCATGAAAATTTTCCAACTCTCGTCTGAAGAAGATCCTGCATTCTCTCCGTTTCCACATTTTTTCCCCCACAGTCAGGATATTAATTTTCATATATGATTCGATTCGGTTTTATCATTAAATTTCAACTGGTTTTATTGTAGAAAATGTCCAATCAACAAATTTTCCGAGTTACTATTTCATTCTCGGATAGTCAAATAACAGAGAATATTTGAAGAAATTATGATTTTTTGCGCTATCCAAATTATATATTCTCACTGAAGAAAAAAGCTCAAATATTCAAGAATTGGTCTCTTCAGAATTTCGGTTTGTATGATTGATTGCTAGAAAATAAAAATTAAGCTTTTTACTTTAGATGTAATTACTGTATTTGGTACGTTATACCATGTAAAATACAGTGCAATTATCCTGCATTAAACCTGCCTCGTCGTTACCTGGAATTTACTAAGTCGCCAAATTACTTTTTTAGAATTTGGGAAACGAGTAAAATCCAGCCGCGACAAGACCGACACGTGCAAACTTCGCATTATTCTCGCAACTGATGCGTTTTCTGGGAACTGACTACGACAACCAATTTGATGCGTAAAACATTGCAAGGTATCATTTAGGATACTGAGAACCAAACAAATGTTTGGATGAGATGAACGCAATGTAATTATGTGAATTTAAATTTAAATCGTTGCTTTTTGTAGACCAATGTTTTGTTTGCGTTATATGCGCTTTACTTAATAGAGTAATTCTTGCAGACTCGTAGAGGAGCATCAGGGCTGCAACGTTGTTGCGGGAGAGGGGGCAACACATATGGGCTACCCCAACGGGATAGTTAGAAAGAATGAACAAAGCATGAACTATATATTTAATGAACAATGTATAAAAATGAACAAGCGAATCCATGAGAAGTTTATCAGTAATAATCTTAGGTAGCTATCAGACGGTAAACGAATGGTTAAACATTGAAGAACATTAAATCTGGCTGGGTCCATCCGCAAGGTCATCGGTGCTGTCGCCGAGAGGAAGGCAGTTCCGTGAAGATAGACAAGTCAAATCAAAGTGCGGGAATCTAGCGGAGGAGCGCAGTGCTTGCTGAGATTACAACGAGGCTCTGGTCCAACGTTGCCGACAAGTTGCAGCTTCCTTCTACGCTGTTCGGCGAGTGGGAGAGAAATGTTCAAATCATCGACCAAGTCCAGGCGACGTACAGTGCCGGAAGCGTTACCGTCTTGAGACTGGCACTTTAGCTCCGATTGCCTGCAGCCGCACCCGTCCATGGCCGACGAATGAAGTAACCAAAATACAAGAACTTGGTTTTGAAGGAATGGTTGACAGCAGCATCGGACTGGATCTGAGGAACTTCCTTGCCGACCCATTACCGCGTCCTGCCACGCCCGTCCAGGCAGGCGGCTCAATCGAGTGAGCCAACCCCGGTTCAGGTCCAATTTCAGCTCCGAGTAATGCGTCGGAAAGAAAGAAAGAAGAAGAGCGCGAACGACAGAAAGTCGGACCGCTACAACGTCACCACGGCAAGGGACACAAATAACAAAATTTACGAATGTTGGATTTTACGGTCGACCTGTTATTAATTCAGTCATACAGATTAGCGGTCATATTATGGAAGAAATACAAAACTTTTCTTACAAGGATTCAAACCCAAAGTTCTGTGAACCAAAATTGTGAAGCAGTTACCGACTGCACCGCACTCACTGCTTCAAATGACATAGTCTGCCTTCAAGCTCCTCATCCCCTCACTGACTCGCACTGAATTAAACTCTTGTCCTTGGTATCCTATGAAAATGTTCCCAATGTAGAAGTCCCAGGCCACGCTGGAGCACCGCATTAGGCTTCTGGCTATTTGTTTGCATCGTCACACGACCGTCTAGTCAGAGGACGCCGCAAAAGAAACAAGTTAAAGAGATGACCTGCAATCCGTGGATGTCGAAGATTCTTCAGCACGAGTGTACTCTAGTGGCTAGTGTGCTCCTGATACATATTTTCCATGCATCCAAACACGCAATAATTTTGACAGGATTTTCAACTTGTAATCGTTTTTAAGTATAGTAGAAACAGGAGCAAGATTCTAATTTCCCAACTAAGGGAAAATTAATTATCTTTAATTACCCGATTTTAAAATGAAATACTAACGATATATGATGATTAACGTTCAAAAGGTTATCAAGCCCTACCATGTAACTTTCACCAACCCAAACAAAAAGAATAAAAAGAAATATTTATTTTTCTCTGTCCTCTTTTATGCAATCCTCTCAAAAATATATAACTAAAATTAAATATCCTAGTAAGGCTGGTTCAGAATTTGTTCAGTTAGAGTAGCGGAAGATAATACATACACACACTGGATTTGAAAATAAAGGCGCAAAAGGTATCAACGATGAACCAATAAATAATACGATTGAAATCGAACATTATTTCACTATAATGATCGATTACAATGAGAAAAGTTTGGGATGTGATTGTTTTCCAATATCTTAATGAATGCTGACTGCTCTAGAGGAGAAATTTCCAACATTGGATTTCTCTGGCGGCTCTAATCATTTAAGTGAACTTGTGATATTGAGTAGCATCCGATTGCGAGAACAAATACAAATTAAATGAGAGTAATTGTGAATCAAAATATAACCAAGTCATAATAATGTTCCATTTGTATTCCCAAGCAATCAACTGAATCATAGATAGCACAATTTAATTCATTCATTAATTAAGAAGGCCAGTCGCACTAACACTTGAGTTTCGTAACCTCGCGACTAATGCTGGTTCGTGCCAAGAATGTTGCCATTAAGTTTTGGAAAAAATGACATAAAGAGAGTTTATATTTAGGGGAAAGAAAAAATCCTGTTGTACAGAGCACTTAAATTAACGAATGAATAAACATAGGTTTAAAATCAAATGAGCAATGATCTCCAATAACGGAATCTTTTATGTGCGAATGTTACAAAGATAAGTAACAAGCTCAGTAAAAATAACCCCTAAGTGACAAGCACCGATGAACAAAGCTAAGCGAAGTTAAACGAACATAGACAATGTGGGCTAACAGACGGTAATTACCTTATCTTATGGCATTCCTACAGAACATACATTCAACATTTCTAAATCTAAAGCTTTATATATGAAAATACATGAATAGTATATAATAAGATATGTATTCCCAAACAATGAGCCAAATAATCCATTCCCATGACACAGCCTCAGATATTGGGTCAAATAATGAAGATGAACAATTAACAACGCTCACATTATCGCACTTGGGAACAAATTTAAAGCTTTATATATGAAAATACATGAATAGTATATAATAAGATATGTATTCCCAAACAATGAGCCAAATAATCCATTCCCATGACACAGCCTCAGATATTGGGTCAAATAATGAAGATGAACAATTAACAACGCTCACATTATCGCACTTGGGAACAAATTTATTAATATTAATTTGAGAAAATACCAGGTGAAACTGGAGCCCATTCAGCGAAAAGATATGAAGTTTCGACTCCCGGTATAATTTGAAACGGCTTGAAGTCTTGTTTTAATGCTACTTTTAATTATTATCCAAATAGAATTGTAAATAGATAATTTTGACGGCGATGCTGAGTTTCGGAGACCAGCTCCATCATCAGTTCAAAAACTTCACATATACAAATACAGGAAAGATCAAATTTGCGTATTACCACGTTTTTCTTGACTTCGTTTCGTGTCTGTCTGTCATCAAAAATTCAAACCTTA